CTGTCGTGATCGAGGTCAGTCAAACTTCTTGTCCATGGTATATATGTGGGCATGTGTACCCATATCGTGGTGTAAATCGTGCCAGAATCAACAAGTAGCTCCATGATTCGCTCCGTGATAGTACGCCTATCATTAGACCGCACATGCTCTGCTATGCGCCGTCTGGATAACCTGACGAGAACTATCAGCAGACGTTGAAGGAAGCGCACGCGGTTATAAACTGACCAAGCTTTCAAACCAACAAGCACAGTGGCATAGAAGTTACTTGCAAGCGACACGAATGCCGTAGCTAGACCCACGGTGCTCAGACCATACGTCCCGAAGATCTCGGAGTCGGTTTGGTTGATTTGCTGCGTGTATCCCGCTCCGACGGCGTGGAGGGTTGTTGCAGTTCCGGCAATATTTGCTATGTTGAGTGCGAGCGTCGTGACCAATAGCAAGCCGCTGGAAACAAGGACCACTCGCTTATTGTCCCATACGAGACACATTCGCCATAAAACTATAGCGTCGCTCATGATCGTCTGGGCAGCGAATCAGGTATGTTCAAAGGAGATCGCGCAACATGCTCACATTGATCGAGAGAAAAGCCAACAAGGCCAGATCACTTGCATTGGTGCGAGCGTCTTCAGCCAACGCGGGAATCTGCGCCAGAGTCAATTCATGGACAAGTTGTTGTAGGTACGTGACCCAATGCGCAAGCGAGGTCGTGTACATGAGCGAAGCCATGATGGATACGATCAAGGAGAAACGGTTGCTTCTTTGGGATCGTAGGCGCCTACGTGGATTAGCTCTAGGTTTTGCCATATTGTATCCGGCGGACACTCACCAGAAGGTCAAATACGCCGTGACCGTAAACAACACCGTGCCGAAACCTGTGCTGAGCTCGTCAATCGATTCGGAGTGCCCAGCCTCAGTAGAAGGCAATGCATACCGAATAGTACGGTTTCTGTGATGAGAGGCAGCATTGATTGCCATGCTTCTCGATACTCCACGAAGGGATCAAAAAACCAAACGCCGTTCTCGGATGCACTGCCAAAGATACTGCGATAACGTCAGCTCCAGTTATACATGATGGCAGGCGCAGACCGAAAAACTGACCTTGCACGGATCGTTGCTTCGAATTGCCTCACGTCAAACGACCAACGAACGATCACCACAATGAGAGCGAGCCAGGCAACCAGAATGATTGATGCGCGGTTGATAGAACGCAACTTGATCCTAAGGTCATCACCGGTGTTAGAATTGGGAAAATCTACCGATTGTCAACCGCACCAGACAAGATATGACCCCAGTGGAACAGCAGCGCATAATAGGCCTATCGTGACAATGACAATGAGTAGGCGTAGACCTTGCGGGCCAAGCAACGACTTGCCCATGAAAAAGCTCTCCGTCAGTAGTAACGGGGCGGTAACGTAGGTCGCTTCTTCGAACAGCAACTGCATGACTTCGCTTTTCTGCGTGACATTGAGGGTGGTGGGAGCTGAAGGCATGGCCACCGAATGTAGAACTGCCGCCACGAGCGCCTGGGTGGAGGGGGTCGTTCTCTTTATGCAACGGCGGGATCACAGAGGCGCCTTCCATGAGGACAATCATAAGCTGTGAGATAGCGCCCATGATCAGATTTCAGGCAGCCGGTCATTCAAAATAAGCCAAAACGTACACAAACTCCCACATAGTACGAGGAAGACTGCACGTTGCTTCCCACGGAGTGCCGCGAGACCTGACAGGAGCAATACAATGTGAATATGCAACGGATACCATTGTCGTAACCTGTTAAGGCGGTGCATACAACCGTCAGTCCTTCTGCCACCGGGAATGTCCCCGTATCTTGACTCTTGAGATTGGCAGCCGGCCTCGACGTGACCCGCCATTGCCTCCAGGTGTGCCACGGACATGCCGCAAAAAGGCCGAAGCTATTCTGCGCCGTAATTGAGCAGTGAGAGGGACTCATGGCAACCATACAACCATCTGGGCGCCGTGCAGCATCGTCGAGGGTTCCTCGAGCATTTTGCACCATTCCGAGCCGAGGCCACCGTTGCACATACGCTACGAGTGGCTGGTAGGCTCGTTGCTACCCACAAAGACACTCGTGATGTGCACCAGACTGACGCGCTGGCGAGGGCTTCTCTCGCGGACGCTTGATTCGGCGTTTAGAGAGTCGTAGAATGATGTTCGAATCATAGTTCAGTAGGGCGGAGCGCCCGACTGGACAGCCGATGTACCGATGGCTGTATAGCAGCTTCGGGAGGTGATGAAGAACCCTCATCGTGGATATTTCCGGTTCTTCCGTGCGACTGTAGTGACACCCGGCCAGCGCTCACCCTGCACATCCTCGTCACTCCGCAAAATGAATATTGGTTGTCCGCATCTGGTCCGCATTGTATGAGTGGTGACATGAGTATGTTGGGTCGGGCCAATCGACCACGATGTGAGACTCGGATTCACGTTCACGATACTTACCCAAAACGACTGGGGAGACACAGTCAAAGAGGAGCGCGAAGCCCCAGTCGCGGCCGCGTTAGGCCACGTTCCACGCGAACTTTGATCCGCTCGGGCGCGTCGGGCAAGAGCGCTGGCTGTGGCGCGCGACACGTCGCGTTCGACGCGTCTTCATCAACTTATCCCTTCACAACCATCTCTCGCGCGCTACAACAGCAATATGCCCAGCGCTCAAGACATAATCGACACTGTATTTGAGCCATTCGATCAGTCAACCCTCATCGATACGTTCAATGCCGACACCGCCGCCGATATCGAGTTCCGCGAAGGTGAGCTTATCGCCTACTCTCATACCCGGGCGGCTCATGGAATGCGACGCGTCGTCTATAGAAACGAAGACGATGGCTCTCGAGCTAGTAATCACGCTTCATGCGTGGGCTGGTGCGCGTTCTGAGCTCGAGACGCGTCTCGCCAGCGAGACTCTTGAAAAGGAGATGGATGCCGTCGCCGCGGTAGAGGCAGAGCAAGGCGCGTCCAATGTCTCGCTCAATGGAACCCAAAAGGTTTGACAGCCTGTTAGAGAATACTCGTGCACGCCTCGCACAGTTCGTCGGCAGCATTCAAGAGGCTTTGATCCTTTTGGCTCAGAGCTTGCGCTGAATGCACTGCATTCCTCGATTCGCATGTAACATCCGGACATTGTTCTTGCTCTGCATATTGCTGTCTTACACGATAAACCTTCCAGTTCTACGCTTTCATGATTCTCCTTGCTCTCTATCACTTGCTTCTCTGTACAATACTGTCTATCATTATCGAACGCCGACTATGACCACTCCGATCTCTTCTACGACCTGAACTGACAACACTAGTACCCGACTCGGCCAAATAGGTATCTTCAAGTCCATACCATCCGTACAGAAGAGTTAGATCACAAAGAGGCTAGAATAGCACATATCAAGGCTGAGTACGTCTATTCCATCACAACGTCGTCATCGTCAACTCTCGTCTCTGTTGATGTTGAGACCGCGGAAGCGGCAGCTATGAGCTCGTCCACGGTCATCCCGCGACGCTTCTCATATTGCTCGACGTCCATGGTGTCCATACTAACGAAGCGCCAGATATGCACGGTCTGGCGCTGCCCGTAACGGCGAAGGCGCCCGATTGCCTGCGTCTCATAGGCGTCGTACTCCTCTTGCGACTCGGTGAGCAGCGGCGACAGGAAAATCGCGTGATTCGCCACAGTCAAGTTTGCGCCGGATGCAGTTTCGTCCGTGACATGCAGGAGGAGAATGCGTTCATCGCTGCCGTTTTGGAATCGCTGTAGGTTCTTGCTCATATCTCCAACCTTGTCCTCGATCTGAAGGAATCGGATGTCCCGCGCTTTGAACATCTCTGCGACCTTCCGCATCAGATCGGGGAATTGTACAAAGACAAGGACGCGGTCATCTTCTCGGATGCGAGAGGTGTCCCTGCAGCGAACGTCAGACCCGGAAAGAATGTACGCATGGTGCGAGTGCCTACCGGAGCAATTCGACAACTTGCTCAAGCTTTGCGCCGTAACGACGACCTTCCACACCGCCCTCCTCCTCGATACCGAGTGTCTCGCCCCTCACGATGTTGACGGATCGCGCCTGTGATTGACAAGCGAGGGGACCTCGGCCCGCATAAACGCATTCGTCTAAGGCAGCACGCTCTTGGACACAAGAGATGCAGCCGGTATGGCCACAAGATGACAGGACGACGATCTCTGAGGGCGGTATCTGATCCCGCTCACACCACGGACAGTCGACAACCACCGGCTTATCCTTCTGCCTCTGCAAGTCGCGTACGACAGTAAAGTAGCGCAGCGAACGAACACGGCCCACGAGCTCCTTGACCAGGCGACGGATGGAGTGAGACTGCTCTCGCAAGTCCCACTTACGCTTGAGACGCTGGGCCTCGTCCACCTTGCTGACCTCGATCTGTGGTGCGGGTCCGTCGACGCCAACCTCATCAAGTAGCGTCTCTATAATAACCTTGGCTTCGGCGTCGCCAACGCCATTGCCGCGGTAGAAGCGAACGAGCTCGCGAAAGGGCGATTCTTGATCACGGTCGTCGATCTCCGCCTCGATCAGGAAAGCCTCTGTGATGAGGTCGAGGAGGTCCTTCCTGCAAGCGTCACGCTCCTTGGTACGATCTCGAACGATCGAGTCGCATGCGTCCACGGCATTTCCTCTATTCTCCTTCTCATTGAGCTCAAAATGCGAGCATCGCTTGAGGAGAGCTTCTTCGGCAGTCCTGCAACGTATAAATCAGGAATATGATCTAAGCGAAGTATCGGAGGGGTCTCACCTTGATTCCCCCATGGCTAAAGCGAGGCGTATCTCGCGGTCGCTCTCGGTCTTCCGGACACGCTTGATCGTCATATCTTGTGCACGCAAGTGGTGTTCGAGCTCAAGATAGATCGCGCGCTCGGCGGCGGGAAGCTGAATCTTGACGTAGTGCTCTTTCCACTGAATCTCGCCTATTTCGGCGATATTCTACACACAGATCAATTAACAACTGCGCTCAACATATGGAGGGATGCGACGGCCAACCTGACGTGCAAACTGATCGAGGAATGCCTGGCCGACAGTATCACGATGAGCGTGCCAATCAAGGCTGTGAACCTCACGAAAAGAGTGAAATTGCTCGGCCCCTATCAACGGGAGTCAGATATTGATAGTATACGATCCGATGGGTTCAAGAACGTACGTGAAGACTGCATGGCGCTTCGCTTCTGATCATTCTTACTTCGGAACTCTCCATCATCATGTACACCCAGGTGAAGCTTGAGGAATCGGGAGATGGTCTTGAGCGAGTGGAAGCTGTTGACCGGAGACGTGCCAGACAGCGCCCAGATACGCTCGGCAGTCCAGCGAGAGATTACGGATAGTGCTTTGCCGTCGACGTAGGTGTATTCGTCAATGACGATGCGTGACCAGTGGAACATCTCCAGCGAGGGCGCCAGCATTTTCTTGTAATCCTTTTTCGCCGCCGCGCCCTTGAGCTTCCACGGATCCTTCGACTCACGCGGAGGATTCGCGTTCGTCTTCTTCGCTTTCTTCGCCTTTGATCGAGACTTTATATCTTCCTCATCACCGGAGAGCTCATCATGATTGCGCTTTCCACCAGCGATGGAAGTGCCGGTCGTGGAGGTCGATGCATGCGTAGAGTCCATGCGCCTGTCGAGAGTTGAGATATCGCCCATCTCTCCGGTATCGTCTCGGGCTCTTCGCAAAGAGGCGGACCGTCTCGCCCTCTCCTCTGCCTCTGCCGCTGCCACGATGTTAGGAACTCATCAGAGCACACCCTGAAGATGACATACCAACTTTACGCCCCGCATAAATGGCTCTCAAAACTGCCACGCTACCTTCAGTCCTGAGTCTATCGACTTGCTCTCTCAAGCCCTCCAGCGCGGCATCCAGCTTCGCGTCAAAGTAGCGCCCATCCGAACTCGGCAATGGTACTGCTCCGCCACTCAGCGCCTCTAGGTTCTCGAAATAAACCTTCGACTGGAGGACCTTGCGAGAGATGATGACGATGTCCGCCTGCATGATTTGCTCAATCGACAGTTTGCCGAGCTTGCCTATTGTGGGGATGGAAACGACGTTGTAGTTCGCCCTGCCATCAAGGAACTTTTCAATCTCGCTCTCCCACTGTCCCGTCAAATGTCCCGGAACGACGAGAAGCGTTGCATGTACCGTGATCTTGCCGGGCCTTTCGGGAGCGCTCTGGACCTCCTCGCGTATGGCTTCGCGCGTGCAGTCAATGAGGCCAAGCGAGATGGCTGTCTTGCCATATCCGACTTCGTCGGCCAGCACGCCACCAAGAACGCGAACAGGACGCCGAGCTCGGCCTTCAGCACGCCAGCCGAGGGGTTCGAGGATAGCTTCACTAATCTCCTCTTCCAGAAAGTGGGGCGCATCGTATCGTTCTTGCGCGAGCATCCAGCTCAACGACCGTGATTGCTCCTTGCGCAGCGGGAACTCTCCGAAGTTTGGGGGTTGCGCGTGTTCGGGATCGGTTTGATTGCTCAGGAGCTTGAACTCGTAAGGCGCGAGTTTGCCCAGCGGGACGAAGTCGGTATGCAATCGCCATGATAGCTCCAAATCCGTGGCATCCGCGCGGATGGGAAGGCGCGCCGCGGCGCGATGCATGAGAGAAGCGAAGTTTACGCCGAGACGGAGGACGCCCGTGGTCCCATCCTGCATGAGCTGCGTCACGAACGGTGCAGGGCGGGCCTTCAACCGCCGCTCATATTCGCCGGCTTGTGTGGTGTTTTCGATGGGCTGAGCCTTGCCGTCACCTTCGAGCCATTCGATATCGGGAGCTCTCGGCGCACAGCGTGTGCAGGCGGAAGGATCGTGAGTGTAGGAGGCATGATGCCACGCTCCAAAGCCATCGTGGACGACTTTGACACGCTCTATCAGCCATGCGACACGACGAAAGGTGGTGCGCTCTTCCGTGTGGGTGAGTTCATGCAAGACGCCGCGTGGCCATTCTGCATCGTTCTCTCCTATGGGGACCCTCACGACCAATAGAGCCCTCGCAGTCTCGCAAGAGTCCTTGTCGGCGGAGAACGTGAGCCCGCTCGCAGGACTAGCGACGGTTACAGCTTTGACTGGGGGCTGCACACGTCATCAGCTCGTGTTCTAAGCTCCAAGTGGCACGCTTCATGATGTACCTTCAGAACCATCGTTGGCACGGCTATGTACACCTGTGGGATGGTGGCAACGACGGCTGCCGCTCCTTCGACGTCCGATTGTCTCCACGGCGGCACAAGCTTGGCGATGATCGGCCGGCCCTCTCCATAATCGTATCGTCGATGGCTGACCGCAAACACGAATGCATCCTCATCAGGCTTGCCACATCGACTAGGGTCAAGGAAGAAGAACAAGGGCTCCTCATGTTTGCCGTCGCCTGCTTGCTTTCCACGGACGTGAAGAGCACAGTTCGCCGTCCCGCACCTCTGCAGCAGCGTATAGACACCTGCGACAGAGCGATCGAGCCGAACCACACCTGGGTTGCGGACGGAAACCTTCAACTGACTCCAGACCTTCTTGTCCTTGAACTGCTCTCCCTGCAACCCCAACCTCGATTCCCAGCTCGGCACTCGTTCTCCGAAGCCCTCTATCTCCAGCTCGAGATCGTGAACAGCTGGCAACGCTACTTCCCATCTTCCACCGAACATTGACACGGAGCAACGGAACCGCGCTATGGGCAATAGCAGGACTTTCCGAATATCGGCGTTCGCGGGCAGTGAAGAGACGGGTTTGGCGTATAATAACCATGTAGGGCATGTCGGATGAAGTGTGAGCTCGAGGCGGGCGAAGTCGCTTTCATATCGGGCCACCCAGTGCGCTTGACGCTTGAGTTCCACGAAGCGTAACTCGCTGCTGGCTGCTGCCAGTGCGGACTCGCGCCATTGCTCCCAGCGTTCGTCTGGGATAGTCACATCGAGGGACCGCCGTAACTCTTCGAGCATGTCGACGTCGAGGTTTGTCATCGTCAATGCCATGGGAAGCACGGACTTGAGTATGCGCGCAAAGTCCGAAGGAGGGGTTCGCGGGTGAGCCTGAACATCGATGGGCTGGTAGTTGTGTTCCGGACGCCCACCGCATGCGACGCACGTCGTCGCGCCACAGTCTGTGCAGCGCTGCACCTCGACAGCAGAGATGTCTTTTCGACCCTCGCAGGCGCAAAGACGTGCGCTTCGTTCGGCGGCGACGAGAAGGTCGGAAAGTGGAACATCCGCAATGTTTGCCGAGTCGAAGTCCTTCTCTACCAACTGCTCAAGCCCGCTCAGGTGCTCTGCTACATCCCTCTCCTTGGCAACCCTCATCTCGCCGCCCATCCCTGAACTCTCGCTTTCATCATCGAGCCCATCGCTGGTCTTAGATGGCTGGCTGCCCCCCGCACGAAGTAAATCTTGGGACAGCACGAGAGCTACGAGCATGCTAGTGCCAACGACGGTCGTGCTCATGGCGTTCCCTGCTAGATTCGCCTGTTGATCGGGAGCCTCACGCGTGAGCAGCAGCTCGTCGACAGGTAAACCTTGGAAGTGCAATGCCTCAAGGCCGACCATGGGTCCGCCGCGATTGGTGATGTAAGGAATCATAGAGGGTGTGAGGCAAGGAGTGATTCCAAGGCTGCTGCCGCTGCCTCTGTTCATGCGGTCCACGTTCTGCGAGACGTTCCACACCAGGGACTTGTAGGACGGATCGACTCCCTCTTTCGCAAAGCGTAAGAGACTGATGTCGAGTAAGTCCCAGACACGCTCGACCTGAGCTTTGCCCCAATCCGTCCACGCGAAGTCAGGCAACTTCGTAGCGTGACCTGCCAATGTATGTGAGCGAGTGACCACTAAAACGACGAAAGAGGGTATTACCTTCCCCCCAGTTCGTAAACGGGCGTTTCGACCCAAGCTCCTCCTCAAGACGCACACGGTGATGTCGAGTCTCGCAACGAACCCAGTCCGTTCGCCCAGCTCTCCTCGTGTCGGTATTGTAGCTCGCCTGAACGAGTTTCTCGCGCTCTCGGTGAATGCGCGGATCGTCGCTCTGCAGCAGAAATGCGTCGAGCACAACACTGGCCGGTCGCTGCATCTTGCCCACTAGTTCTTGCCAGCGTTGGGGGATCGGCGAGTTGACACGATCAACAGCAATGAGATACCCACGCTGACGCGTATGAGGAATGTAGAACTGTTTTGTGTCGAGGTTCCTGTGCTCAGCGCTGTATCCCATGTCCTCCATGTGGCGTTTGATCTCCGACCAGGGCGCGCCTTTCACGTTCTCCAGAATAATGATCGGCGGTCGGTGTTTCCGCGCCCACTCGAGCATGCCGCGGAAGGTGCGACCGGATTCGCCGTCGTCCTTGATCGTCTTCTTCTTGTTATTCAAGGGAGAAAAATCGACGCAGGATGTGCCGGCGACGAGCATGTCGACGTTTCCGGGTACTGCTACGAGAGAGCCGTACGCAGTGTGACTATGTACGCGATAGCATGAGCAACAGCGCACATTTGGAGAGTAGTGGAATGGACATACGCATGCGTTTCGCTAAGTTCGCAAACGTCGCGGAAGAGGAGACGAGGATGAAAGTTGCGCTCGATGTACGCCTGTTTGAAAGGTTCGATCTCGCAGGAGAAGACGTGGTCAATGTCGAGCTTCAGTCCCCATGCTTCCTTCATAGCTCGCGTGATCATGCGTAGAGCCAATAGCGGCGACTCGGTTCCTGAACACATAGTAGCAACGCGGAGCTTGCTCCCCTTCAAGTGCTTCACGACGTCCTGAAGCCTTCCATCAGACAGCTTCTCCATTCGTGCAACAATGTCCGCGAAGATTGACGGCAGAGATGATAATGGCGGCAGCTTGGACTCTTCGGGCGCGACGTAATTTCTACCCGTAGCTACCGACGCGTTATCTGAGTCTCCGCCGTCATCCTGGCTTTCGCCGTCATCGGTGTTCGTGTCACGCAAGGCTGCTCGCCGCTTGCCTCCGCTCCTTGTGCTGGGCCCTGCTTGCCGGTCCTCCTCAACCACCACATCATTTTCCGCCTCGTCAGAGTTCTTGGGCTCGATGGGAGGCGGGGCCTTGCGGGCCCTTGCCTTCCCTTTGCCCTTCGCTGTGGTTGTCTGTTGAGACTTTGGCTTTGGCTCCTCGTCTAACTCTACTCCAGACTGCTTCTCGCTGGTATCCTCGTCAGGAAGAGAGGGTGGCGGCTTCTTTCGTCTGCCCATGCTCGTCAAGTTCAACGCCGACAGTAATGCGTGGTGAGAGTGGTGGTTAGAGAAAGCCGACCGGTATGCGCATCATTCCAAGGGCCGTGACCCAGTAAACAAACGTGTGACCTAACGCGTTGGGCCGGCGTCACAAGCGCTTTGGGCTCATTGTTCGAATTGTTCGACGACGGGTCGTTCTCAGGCAATAATGACGCTGAGCGCTGAGGACGAACAAAGCACAGCTTCATTCGCAACGAGCTCTATAGTCTACATTGGGCAAGATGAGGAGAGACGAGACAGCGTGCAGGAATATATAGACAGCGATGAATGCAAATCAGCGTACGCAGACCGTCTAGTCTAGGTCTAGAAGAGGCAGATCTAGCACGTGGGAGTAGAGTAAAGACTGACTAGGGGGATTAAATACTAGCTAGGGTATCTCATCTAATGGTAGCAGGTAAGTAGGTCAAGATAGGTGGCAGTGTACAAATTAGTGATGGAGTAAGCGCGAGACATGGACTTTTGCGGGCGTAGGCCCCAGAAAGTAAGAGGTATCAAGAGGTCGTGTATGTAGACACTAGACGTGACCAGGACGTCTAGGGTGCAGCGGAAGCCTGCAGCCGAGCGTAGGCGTCGGCGACGTCCGGCCATGCGGTCTCCTCGCCGCAGTCGAACTCGATCCGCTTGACGCGCGGGAAGGCGCTATACAAGCATGCGGCCAGCTCGCCCGCATCGACATCCGGTCCCTTCTTCGCACAGCCGATCGTGATGCTCTCAAGCACCTGTTGGCTACCAGTGGCGGCGGGCGTAGGCGCTTCAGCGGATTGAGGTACGGCGGAGATGTCCATGGGAACGGAGAGCGAACGCAGGCGCCCGCACACCTCGGAGAACGCACGAAGGCTTGCGGGAGTGGCGCGGGGCTGCATGGTGAAGTACGTCGGGTAGTCGAACGCATCGACTGGACGTGTCCAGAGGCCGAGGTGCTCGATGCATGGCCACCAGCGGGCAAGGGAGCCGAAATCCGCATCGTTCATGTCGGCCGGAACGCTCGCATCCAGGAAGAAGCGGCGGAGGCGTGTGGCGCGCGCAAGAGGTGCGAGCGTCATAATCGTGAAGTGTAAGCGCGGCGGCACCGTGGGATCCAGGACCTCGCAGAACGACGTAAGCGACTGGATGCTGAGCTCCTCCAGTGTGTAGCTAGCCTTGGTGGCCAAGTACTCGAGAGCAGGTATCCAGCTGTCGGCCGCGCGGGGCTTCAGATCCGACTCGAGACGTGCGCTCGTTAGCCGGGCGATGTTCGGGAAAGATCCGAAGAACGCGGCGAGTACTTCGGGTACGGCGCGGATGTTGAGGGTTTTCAGCGCGCCGAAGCATGGTCCGGCTTCAGCGAGCGCATCCCGAAGGGCATCCTCGTCCATGCCGTCGAGTTGAATCCGGAGGTCATGAAGGTGCGGGAAACGACCAATGGCGGCGATGACACGCGGCGAAAGATCGGTGCCGACGCAGAGCGACAAGGTCCGAATATTCTGCATCTCCGCGACGGAATCGAGTATGCGTTCGCCGACGCGTCCGCGCAGGTTCAGAGATTCCAGGCGCGGGGCAGCCTGCGAGATGGCGTCGACGTACGCGCACACGGCCTCACCAGGGTGGGCGTTAGTGCCTGCTGCGGCACGACGTGCAAATCCCACATCAATAGTTACAGAGCGCAGCTGTGTGGACAAGTACAGCTGCGGTGCCAATGTGCGCTTGGCGGGATCGGACAGGTTGAGCCCCACGGTGGTGAGAGAGGGCAATAAGAGGCCGGAGGGCGTGAGGAGCTCTAGAATAGCCGTTGGGAGCTTGGTCGCTGTGCGGCCGTGGTGCTGGACGCTTCGAACCCGCGAAGCGTACGCAGAGAGGTTGGCCAAGGCGTCGGGCGAGGGATCCGCATTTAATACCTGTGATCACGTTGCCCTCTGTCAGCCCAATCCGGCAATACGCTTGCTGAAAGAGAACGCACATATGCCCCGTTCTCGCGCTTCAGGGTGGGTAGCAGCGCGAGCAACGGCTCGGTTGAGGGGAGCGTCTCCCAAAGGTGGTCAAGGACCGGTTCCTTCCAGGCTTGGCAAATAGTAGCCAGACGTGCAAAGTCCGAGTTTGGGTTGCCGCCCTCGCGCAGATGCGCAAAGACGGCTCTAAGAATTTCGTCTATGAGGAGGACGCTATGCATATGGTGGCGAGGGACTTGTCGAAAGCGAAGAGGGGACGTGTAAGAAGGAAAGAACAACGAAAGACGTGGCAGGAAGGCCGAAGGATGGAGGGGGGTCGGGAAAGTCTACCGGCAACAAAGACGCGCCCAAGCTAATATCCTGTCCACAACCCGACCGACAACTTGGTCCCGAGGAACACCGTCGCGCGAGGCAAGCTCGTTGCAAGGGCCGTTGTGCTCATTTTCGTGTTTCACGCAGATTCACAGCCGAAAACGCGATCACATGGGTTGCAACTCGCGCGTCCCGCAGTAGAGCCCTTATTTCCCCGCGATCAAGTACGTACTACTTCCGGCGATCACTATGATTAGCTTGGGACATCATAGAAAACGCCATGACGAAACGGCGCGGACCGCCCCTGGGCCACATCGCGTCGTGGTGCGTACTCGGGCGCCCGACTACTCATCCCTGAACAGCACCCTGGATACTATACATCGAGCGCTTACACATTCTTGTGTTTCACCTACACGCCGGCGCATATTCTATTTCAACGATGTAATAAGCACGAGGTGGCAACCGCGATGGTATTTTGCTTCCGCTATGGAGTTCATCGGCTCCGCAGACGACGGGCCACACGGCGTTAGGAGAGCGGAGGACGGCTCGGCGCCCGCGATCGGCACGACGGCATCATGGCGAGTAGAAACTAATATTCTAAAAGCTACTTCGAAGTACGTGGCGAAGAGGCCAAAGGGGCCGAAGGTTCGTATATTGGTTGAGCGCGAGCAATCATGCGTAAGACCGGACCTTCGAGAACCAGAATGGGCGCTCCTTCTTGAGTGGTAACGCAACAGCCTCCCCCGTGGATACAGCAACGCTCTCGTACTCCTGGAAATCGAGGCGGTTCCAGCGCCCAACCGGGCGCGATCGCAACTCCAGCGTCATCTGAAACGTGTAGCGCGCGTCGGGCACAGAGGGGTCCATGAGTTCAGTGACGTGTACCGTTGTACCCTCAAGACGCCACTGTCCGATGTAAAGCCCCTTCGAACAATCAGCGCCTGTATATGACACGCCAAAAACTTTGAGCCTAAATTGGACATACCTTCATGCGCAAAGTGGGCTTGAGCATGTTGATGACCGACTGAGGCTCCTGGTCCTCGTTCGCCAAGAGCGAGATGACTTGTCCGGTGGGATAGAAGCGCCTAGGATCCATTTAGACTAGGTATAGCCTATCAAGCTGGTGTGCTTGACGTACAAGTAACGGTGGTACGTGATGAGGTGGCTGACCTGTGCATATGAATGAGATACGGCCGGTGCAAATCAGAGAAACGCGGCGTACATTGACCCACACGTTTTCGCTGAGCCCGTCGCGGCTGTGGCAGACAATCAGCCTACCGAGATCCAATCGACAGCACGCCTCGAGATGATGATGAAATACGAAGCATAGTGGGGGCTTCCGACGACCGGCGTGTGGCACATGCGGCCCACGGAAGCAACTTCGGAGTGCAAAAGTGATATTGTCGGCGTCGGTGGCAGTTGCAGATCGCGATACGCGTTCCGAGGACGGATCGGTGACAGGATGTAAGATTGCTTACATGTATTGGTTGACGGCAATGTACACCCCGTCGAGCCGCACGCGAGGTTGCTCGATGTATGTCCGACGGTAGTCGGCTCCGTATCGCTCAAGAAGATCCTCAATGTCCTCGTCATCAGCGATTTGTGGGGGCCTGTAGATAGTCTGCACGAACGGTCTAGATTATCGTTAACGTTGTGCAACCCGATATCATGATGACGAGCTTCAATCACGTACCTCCATATGTGGGAATCAAGCGTAACGAGCCTCGCCTTGCGGTTCACGGTCGCAAAGCGCTCAATGGCCGTCGCATCGAGATGACATAAGACGTAGATGAGTAGTTCATCGGGAAGCAGCTCTAGTGGCACCGGCTCGTTCTCGTCCTCAGGCAGAAACTCGAGCGATTTAGGGAAGGACTGCAAGATCCCGGCAAGAGCGCTGGAGAGCTGGGCATAGTGATCGTGTGCGTGTACGACGTGCGTCGCGGAAGAGAGCTTCACCGCTTCCATCCCGCCGACGATCCCATCCACCGAAGCCCTTCCAACGGAAGGCTTCTTTCCGTGCACCTTGCTGCTGAGCTTAGGAGACGTGGCAGATACAGATGAGATCGTGTGCTTTCCAGCTGGAGGCTTCTCCTCCTGAGTGTAGCCGAACATTGTGGAGTCAAGACCGGGCGCGAGCCTGAACGCCTGAGAGTATAACCTGGCCGCCTCAGCATGCCGCCCCGCGTCTTCTGCATTCACGGCGGCCTGGTACAGTTCCAATGCACGCGTGTCGGTATCCTCGGAAGCCACGAGGGGATTGCTAGGGCCCGCGATCGTTCCATTCGTGGGGGCTACCTGCCGTGTGCTCGGAGGTGCCTGCGTGTCCGGTGGAGGTGCACCTTGCTGCTTAGAGCGCTGCACTTCCGCCTTCCACTGTTCTCGAAAGCGACGCAACTCTTCCGATTCCGCATTATTTCCTTCTGGGTGGTTCGTAGACATGTGAGATGAGCGCTCGAGTCAAGGAAGGTGTGTGGATGCTCTATCAGAGTCGCCGAGTGCATGACACACGTTATCGGACATTGCCGATCGCGCAAGGCGGCGCGTCCGAAGCGCAAGACGGGCTTGTCGCTTACTACGAAGAGTACTCGAATCTGCTCCAGCACTCTCCTTGTAGTTGCCTACCAGATTAATCGCCGCTGGCTTTGAACAGCCGAGACACTCTGCATGTAACTCATTCCCCCGTATTTTCTGATACACAATGACGCACGAATGGCATTCATCGTCGTTATAATAATATACATGACGAGCTCTGTTGTCCATCATGAAAGTAGATCTCATGGACTACTCATCATCCCTATGCTCCCACTCTACTGCGGCACGAGCACGAGCATCCCTCCCCTTCTCAACCCCTTGCGCAACTCCCAAAGATCCGCCTCTCTCACGATGCATCGTTCCAGCTCCAGTCGTTCGAAGCGCTCTCCGAGAGAGCGTATCCCCTTCAATATGAAATCGATCATGACGCAGCTCTTCCGCTCCTCCCAGTTCTGACTCAGCTCTACGCCAACGAGACGCAACGTCCTAAGGCTCGTCATGGTTGTCTTGTGCAGGATACTATGGCAAAACAACCCGCACAGGTATGTGCCATGCAACGAGAGCGTCTTGAATGAAGTGAACAGCTCGCAGATGTGCCGTATCTCCGCGAGCTTCAGACAATTTGTGAAGTGGGTGCGGGTACCATCGTCCTGGTCGTCGGTGGGGAACTTGAGCGTGAGATTTGGTGTACGAGTGAAGACCGGATGCGATGCGAGCGTGTCGAGCGCTTCGAGTTCAGCTCTGCCAGAGAGGATGTCTTCGTCGGGAATGATGCTGATAGAGAAGGTGGAAGGTAGAACATCCGTCGATCTTGTGGAAGAGGAAACAAGGCTTTTGGCGGACATCACGCGTCCTGTGAATGTGACCGAGTCGAACGATGTATCTGCTTGAGCGGCCAGGGCAAAATGGACCGCCAACGCGTCGCGCATGATTTGTAGCTTCTGTTTGGCGAACTCTGCGATCCACCGACCAGTAAGGGTGAGCGATATTGATGTGGTGCAGGGGATGCCGAGAAGCGCCAACGTGAAGAAAATATCGTAGTACGGTCCGTGAAGCACGAAGCTCTTTAGATTGACCAATGGTATGGAGCGTAATGGCGGCAGTCCATCGACGGAAGTAGTGTCAAGAGCAGGCAGCCCGCCACCGGTACCTCCGTAGTTTCGGGTGAACTTGAAGTCCTCAAGTAGAGGGACGCCGCTGAAGAACGCGATGAAACTCGCAGAGCTGTCCCACGCCTGCGAGTTTGTCAATTCTGCCTCACGAAGCGCGGGCCAGACGAATGTGCGTGGACTTCGCAAAAGGACGTAGTTGAGCCGGGCACTGCGTAACCGTTCCAAGGAATGGCCCCCGAACACCTTGCGAGGAACCTCCACAAAGATATTGGCCACATCTGATTCCCACTGCAAGTCCATGCGCAAATCCTCGAGTTGTGGCGCATTCAAGTTCTCCAATTTGCGCAGGAAAGAGCGGATACTCGGATATTGACGAGATGCTACGAGCGCGCTCGTATCGCCATATGGGTTGAGGCCGGGTTTGCATGAGATGAAGAGGGAGTCGAAGATCGTTTCGACATCTTCTGGTTTCATGCCGGCATGGAAGTTGTCAGGGCGGACCTCGACGTCCAGAACAGCAGATGCACAGCGGGATAGATAGAGATCTGTCAGGCTTCGGTGCGAACGAGGGAGACGGCTCCAGAGTACTTGTTCGTGTATTGATAGCTCTCTCCATCGACGACAAACTTGTGAAATATTGCTCGAGGTCGATGGGTCGCGCCGCGTCGAAACAGACCAGTGAGGCTCGTTCGATGCGGAGTATTGATCGTGCTGTCGGTCGTCTAGAGCCGCGTATTGTAATATGGGCAGTAGTAGCTCGGTAGGAAGTTCGTTTATAGGCATTGTTAATTCCTAGGCCGCTCGGGGAGGAGTAGTGCAAAGGGCGATGAGGGTTTGATCCAAAGCACAAAAGGCGCCGAAAAGTTCGCCGAAAACGGCAGGCGTGATATGTGGTGAATCGGCCCGATACCCCAACCTTAACCTTAAACCGAACTCGCAATGTGGCACGGCAACGTGCCCTCATCTAGATTCTAGCCACCATCATCACCGGGCATCCATCTCTAGCCGCGCGCACACTACAGAGGGGGCCGCCTCCGTGCAATATCTGGAGATGCCTATTGCTTGCAGGGGCTATTGCGTCGGAATTGAATCTGAGGGGAATGAGCTGCCGCACTACCGCGTAGTGACGGACGATCGCACCGTCACCTGCTGGATTCCAAGTGAGGCCGGCAAAGTGAGTGTTCAAACAAGGGTGTTGTTTGCTGTGCGTCTGAGTACCGCGTCCCACACTTTCTTGCCAGGCATTCTTGGTGACATGTATCGCGACTGAGCCCCATGCGCATGACTTCAAGACCGTAAGGATCCTCGCCGACGGCCGGAGACTAACAGGGGCTGGATCTCCCGATGAAGAAAGTGTTTGCATACGGTATCGTAGGATATCGAGAGAGACCCGTCAGCCTTTCGTGTTTTCGTCGGTGGAAATTGTCCCAGGTGCGTCGGAACTCTCGGAACACTTCCTCATGCGCGACTGAATACTGACCGCAACGGCTAGACGAAAGCGGTGGCACTACACCTACTACGGAAGTCTCCCCTGACCTTGGTGTCATTGAGATTCAGATCTGGCCCGCTCGGCAGAGTGAAGAGAATGGTTATATGCACGTTGAAAAGGCAGATGTTCTAGACAGCGGCGTGACACTGAGCGAGAGATCCAAGGTTCTTGCAGTCAACCATGTGAAGTGTGTTGCCAACTACCCTCAGTCTCAGGTTACGACAGTTCTGACTCGCTCGACGCTTGTGAAGGCCCGGGCCTACGGAGGTCTTCGCATTGCCAAAGTTTAACTTCAGCTACTGGGCCATTGGAGATGTCCCATACGCCACATTTCGCTTCTTGCACCGCCCCGCGAGTGTGTAGAGACCCCAGCTAACTTGGATGTTTGCACTGACTATAGCCTTTACCGCAGACGTTCTGCAAGCGCAGGGTATCACTCCCCCTCCCTCTCAGATGCCTGAGCCTTCGCCAATCTCGACATCTCGTAAGTCTACTCGACCTCATCCCGACGAAGCAGAGAATGAGAGCAGCAAGCGCAGACGCGTGAGCGAGGTATGGTACTCTTCTATAGCTCCACCATGCGATATATCATTGGACAATCCTGTCATTATATAGAATCCCTCGAGTAGCAGCCGCTCTACCCCACAAGAGAGCAGGACGGAACGCGCGAGACGTCTCAGGACACAAGTTGAGAGACTCCATCAGTTGATATGTCAGGACCCGAAGCTTACGTTATGACTAGGCAGACATCCTCGAGCTCGAAGAAGACATCGAGGAGAAACAGAAGCTTTTGGATGGTATGAAAGAGCGTTTCACTCACCTGCCAGCACCAGCGTCCAACGAAAAGGACATCCAGAACGCCGTGCAATCAATCACGACAGAAAGCACAGCGGACCAGATAAGACGCCTCAGGCTTCAGGTTTGTTATCCTACATACTGTCCGTCGTATTTGCGTTGACGGTGGTCCGGAATGTGCTTAGGCTGACATCCTTGAACTTGATGATGATGTAAACAAAAAGAGGTCGGCATTGATGGAACTGAAGAAGAGGCTGGTGATCGATCTCACTGTCGACGACTGACTGGATTACCCGAGAACAACCTTTTCAAGTGCTATGATGGCTGTATGTGTACTAATCTCCTAATACATCACGCCCCCCAGTCTCTTTTAGCATTAAAATCAATCGTTGCATCCGCCTATCCCTCGATCTCGCAATCCATCACGGATAGTCTGCCCTCGCCAAGTCCTTCGCGCAGCTGCTGGACGTCCGCCTCCCCGAGCTCACACCTCTCAAGCTCCAAACGCTTAAATCTCTCACTGAGACGCAGCAGAGAGGAAAGTAGAAGAGGTGTGGAGACGAAGTTCGTCTCGTGAGCTGCACCCGAGAAGAACAGCGCGCCATGCATTCGCAGAACGGCCAGGTTCGGCGGTACAAGTTCATTCTGTATGAGAACGTTCGCGACGCAGTTACACACATCCTCGCCAGTTACGTGGAGGGCCTGAACGTCGACATAAAGCGCGAGCATGTGTTCCAGCTCTTCGTGGTAGAAGCTATCGAGACGATGGGCGGCTCCGCGCACGCCGCATCTATCGACCGAATGAATCGTGAGTGTTGAGGCGCGAGTGAAGACGGTGTACGCGAATAGTGCTTCGAGTTCCAAAGCTTGGCTCCCGGGGTCGTGGTCGTCATATTCGAGTAAAGGGATGCTGAGAGTGAAGGAGGGAGGGAGGTGGGCCGAGAGGCTGTCCTGAACGGGATGTGTCGCAGACATCGTTCGTCCATCGAATGTGATGTTGTCAAAGTAGGCGCCGGCTTGCATTGCCTGAGCGAAATGGACCTGCACAGCCTCGTGCATGATCCGCACCTTCTCCTCTTGGTCATCAGCGAACCAGATGCCGGAGAGTGTGAACGACAAGAGGGCGCTCGAGGGTAGATCAAGTATGGCTAATGCGAGGAACATGTCGCGGTATGGTCCGTGAAATGTAAGCGCCTTGAGATGCTTCATCGGCACGCTGCGGAGAGGTGGCAGGTCCTGCACGGGAGTTGCATTGCTCCAATTGGCGCTGCTTCTCGCCTGGCCATCGTTACGAGATGTGAGTTCTTCCAGTAGAGGTACACCGCTGAAGAACGGCACAAAGTTGTCGGGATGAGTCCAGATACGCGAGTCTGTGAGCTCGATGCAACAAAGGGCGGGCCAGATAAAGGTTTGCGGCTGTCTCATGTAGACAGCATTGAACTTGACGGATCGCAGGAGCCGTAACGGTTCTCCGTTGAACATGTGAGGAGGGATGGGAATGGTGTCCCGGGCGCGGGTGTTGAACCACATTTGTAAATCCATTGAGAGCTCGGTGAGATGTGGCGCGCTCAGCGGTTGAAAGTCCTCCAAAAATGTTTTTACGTTCTGTCTTTCGTCAGATGAAGAGTGGTAGCTGGGGGGGCCATGGCCCATGCTGGATCTGCATGAGATGAATAGAGATCGGGCGCGCGGGATGTAGTCCTCGAGCTTCTGGGCGTCCCCATGCTTTGCGGGACCCCAAAAATGCGCATAGGGATCGATCATTACGTCCAGAAGAGCAGACGAGCAGCGGGAAAGATACGTGTTAGTGACGCTTTCGTGCGAGCGAGGAACGCGATTCCATAGCATTGGATCGGACAGGGACAAGTGCCTCCATCGCCTACAGACTTGGGAGATGTTGGTCGACGTAGAGGGATCGCTACGTGTGACGGCAGTCCAGCCTGGATAGTTCGATGTTGGAATCTGCCCCGTTGATTGATCATCAAGCGACGCGTACTCGAATATGGACAACAGCAGCTCTGCAGGAAGTTGGTGCACGCTCATGCTTCCAGCAAGACAAGTATATGCAAGACAATGCCGAGAAGGTTCATGCATCAAAGGTGGATAGCGGTGCAGATGGAGCAGGCAAGATGGTGGTCGAGACTAACCCGCCTATACGAGGACGCGCGTTAACGCGCGTCAGAGTCACACGGTATATTGATTTCCCTTTTCCTTGTCTTTGCCCTCCCCCGCTCTCCTATGCCTCGTACACAAACCTCTGAGACGGCCGCTGCCAAAAATGCTGCATAGGTCGGAGCACGATGTAGGGAGACAGATGATAGCTGAAGCTTGGCTGAAGCCAGACGCTGGCCGCAAACGTGAACCTGCGCGGGCGCGTATTCGGCGAATCGGCCGAGACCTAACCTTAACTTCAATGGCCCGGGATCAAAGCCTTTGCCTGGTGGACTGGCAGTGCGGCGCGTCTGAAGTTCGCTCACAGACAGCAAGATGTACGGTATATGAAGATGGTATACAGGTACGAGCTATGATACACGATAGATACCGGAGCCGATGTGCACCACAGCAGAACCCGCACCTTCAACGGCTTGAACACCCCAACCTGGCCCTCACGCAACATCAGCGCGCATCCGTCCGAAGCCGGCTGAGAGTCTTACCTATCTCGACCAACCCCTCCGACGCCCACTGTGCAGGCATGTCTGCAATAGAGGGAAGTCAGACACAGTCGGCTTGACCGAAGACGACGAGATCAGACGTACTTTTTTTCGTGAGCGTCGAAAGCCTCCCCAACGGCGTGCACCCACCCACCTGCCCGCACACCGTTGAGTGCCTTAGGTTGTCGGTCCTGAGTAGCGCAAGTATCAGTGCCAAGTGAGGTAGAGAAGAAGACGAGAGGGGTGATGAGGTTGTCGAAATAGTGCGAAAGAATGAATATTGGCGCGAAAATCGTTGATGGGTTGTTGAAGTGCTTGAATAAAGCGCGGGAGGGAATTCTCGAGAGTATCGGAATATAATGCTTGTGCGCCGGCCGTCAGGTATGAGTGAAAAAGGTATAAATTCTTGCGGTGTCAACATGTCCAGAGAAAGGTTAATGGTCGTCGAGATCAATCACGCGTGGATCGGGGGCCCATAAACGGGCGCATTATCCCGTCCAGATCCCAAATGGAGCCTTGATTTCTGAAGAGAGCGTCAGCAAGCCGAAACTAAGGTCAAGGGAAGAGACACAACGTACCTTGAGTTTGTCGTCGGATAGCATGTTGAGATGATGACATCGTCAATAAATTCAGAATAAAATGTTTTCGGAAAATGCGTGCAAAAATGGCCCATTTTATTCTTGAGGGGCGTCGAAAATCCGTGGAATAATGCTTGAGAAAATCAAACCCATGATCTGGGCGTCCTGAGTTGTCGCAACATGATAGTTGAGTGTAAAATGATCGAAAAGACCCATATAATATGTGTATGTGTCGGAGTTGAGGTCGTATTCTTGACGAATGCTTGAGGATGGGAAATGCCCATTATATAGATATCCGCTCTTGTGGTGGGGTCGATGAATCCAGATAACGAGAATGCTTGTCAATTATTGAGATATCGTAGTGTAGCAGGCGCAAGATTGAGAGAAAAGCCACAACGGAAGCAGACTTGGCGACGAGCGGAACCAGTGTACAATCTATCAGTCGTGGCGCACAGAGCCAGAGAGAGAACAATCGTTAAAGCCCTGGTGGGTGCGTCAGCGTATTGAAGAGGGGATACCAAGACGAAGAACGCACCTGATAATCTGAATCACAGTGGCAAGTCGGAGAATGCGGAGGTCAGCGCGAGAAAGAGAGCAGAAGCAAGATACGCAAGCAGATCCTTGTCCGAGACGGTGGCCGGTGGCGAGCTGTGAGACCAGGTCGAGCAGCCGTAGTATATCAACCCATGAGCACAATCATCGCTACAGAAACGTCAGTACAAACGGGCAGGCGAGGGAGCGAAGCAGCGGGCGAGGAAGAGGAGAGAGGGGGCGGTCGAGACTGACCCTCCATCTCCCCCGCACCTCCCCCTTATATACCCGGCCTCAACCACACAACCACGCCACGCCACGGGCCCTCGAAACTCCGCATCAGCCCGTGACGCACGACCCGAAGGACAATGAAGACAATGGGAACCGCACTAACACGTGGTGGGGACAACCACACTGAGGCACAATGGGGGTGGCGGAAGGTTCTAGTGTCCAGTCCGGCCTTTCATTCTCGCTTGATTGGGTGGGCTTCTTGATGGTAGGCGGTGCAGGATGGTTTGTGTTTGGGCGTTATCGATGGTGTCGAGGAAGAAAGGGCGGGGCCGGGGACAAAAGGGTGGCGTAGGTCCGCAGTTCCTAGTGTGGCGCGCACGAGGTTACAACCACAAAGGGCTTTCATGTTTCACATCTGTCGGACGGTTTGCCTCGCTAGGTGCTTTGCCAATGGCGCAAACGGTGGGTCGGACTCAGCTCGCAGGGAGGGGAGGATGTCATCGTGCACACGGCTGGGGACGCCGGACCGTAGACGTGCATAGGCGCCGGTGATTTCATCAGGCACGAGGCTCACAAGGTCCGCTAAAAGCGGCTACAACAAGCTCGCGCAATCATTATCGTGATAAGCTGTAGGAAGGTCCTAGGATATACAGACACATAGATTACTGCAAGGTCCCATTCAGCAACTGAGCACGAAGACCGGTATGAAGACCAGACGTACCACAACTACCATCCACCTCTAAGCTTGGGATCATCCCCTCATCAACCCCATACTCCTCAAGATCTCACACGCCTCGACCTTCTCCTGCTCTATACTCTTGATCTTCTTCCAATCCGCCCCAATACCGAAAATCCCTTCCTCGGCCTCACGTCTCCTCCGCTTACTTTCCAACCCTCGTCGACATTGCGCGTACTTGTCCTCCGTAAACGCCCTATCAACCGCCTCCTCAAACCGACTCAAGGCAGGCCCGGGCGTCCCCCGCTCAACTTCCGCTCCAATAGACGGATGCGCGCTGAACTCAGCGCTATTGACGTGGTACGCTACGCCCAAGCCGCGCGTATTACGCGGGACGTCGTACCGACTGGATGGTGAAAACGAAAAGCGTGGGTCCGGATGGACGGGCGTGGTGAAGAGGGAGGGGAGCGCACTGAGGAAGGAAAAGGCGAAGAGGAGGAGGATCGGGAGCAGGTTTGTGAGTATTTGTCGGGTCGTGACAGGTTCGTCGCGTTGTTGGGCTGCTTGGGCGCGAGCGCCCCCCGTACGGTGTGTGCGGAAGCCGCCAGGGCCAAAGCTGGCGGTGAATACGCCTACGAATATTCAGTCAATGATGACGTTCTCTTTGAGATACAAAATCGAGGTGCATACCTGGACCGGCAGCAAAGCCACCACCATTCATATTTCCCATTCCACCACCGAAGAACATGTTGAACAAGTCCTCGGGTGATATCTCGCCCTCGAATCCGCCGCCACGGGCAAACGAGCCATTGGAGAATGCCGATCCTGCCGAAGAGCGTGCTGAAGACATGCCACCGCCGCGCGAGTCCGGGTCGTCGCCTGATCTGTTGTATATTGCTCGTTTGTCGCCGTCAGACAGGACCTGGAACGCCTTGGATACCACTACGGATTGCATGTCAGATCACGAGACGTATTCGTTGCTGCAGGTATGCGTACTTTTGAATGCTTCGTCTGCGCCTGGCGCACCGTTCTTGTCAGGATGTAATGCCAGTGCAAGCTGTACATCTATTAGCACACTAGTAAAGATATATACTTGATGATATAATCACATACCTTCTTGTACGCCTTCTTGATATCATTCTCCTGACAGTCTCTCTCCAGACCCAATATCTCATAGTATTGCGTGACCCTACACGCTCTGACCCTCTTTACAACCGCAACATTCTCTTGCGTATATTCCCGCTTAGCCGGCTCCTCCTTCTGCTTCTCCTTGGCATGTCTATGTGTTGCCCCAGACGAAGACGGATGCGTCTCCGTAGCACTTGAGAATGCAGTCCCGGAAGTACCAGATGACGTAAACGTAGACCCGGAAGCGGTAGAAGCGGAGGAAGAGGAAGAAGACTGGTCAGATTCGAGTTTGGCGATGAGCGACGCCGCGGCAGGCGTGGCGAATAACGCGTTGGATTTCCGCGCGAATTTCAGTGCGCCAGATACGTCGCCTTCGCTCCGTTTGCGCTGGGCAATGTTCAGAGCACGTGAGGCTTCGTCTTTGTTGCTCTCCATGGCTTAGCGAGCAGCAGGAGGAGGGAAGGGGAGAGGTGGTGGGAGTGGGAGGTGAGATCAATCCGTGGGACACGTACGTCCACACGCGTCCTGGGCGAGTTGGTTTCGACCGCCATCTTCGGCCGTTCCGCGTTCGACACTTTGCCCCATCACCTCTAAATTCTTGTGATACTCAACTAGGCTGCCACAGCCATGACCATACACACGCTCCCAGCAGAACTGCTGTTGCCCATATTCGAGTATGCATCGCTTGATGACCGGCCATTGCATCAGATATCCCTCACGAGCACTCCCACCTGGACGATTGGAACATATGCCGATCCATCTACATCGGTAAACATCTCTCAGGTCTGCGCTCGATGGAGGCAGCTTTCTCTCTCTGATCAAATGCTCTGGCCTCGCGTCCCACGCTCTCACGAAAGCATCACGAACATGTATATCTCCCGCTGCCCAACCGCACCTCTGGACATAGAGATCGATCCCTATCTTCATGCGTGGGGTGCCAGGAAGCATCAAGACCTCCAGGAGCTCTTTCAACATATATCACGAGCCCGATCTCTATCCGTCTTATGCCGATCCAACATGAGCTCCCCTAACCGCTTCAATCCTTCTTCCATCGTATCTACCAGACCCATGCGCACATTCTTAAAGTCATTCACGTCAAGCGCGCCGCATCTCGCAGAGCTATACATGGATCTACAATCGAAAGCGGTCTTACATGGCCGTGACAATCCCTTCCCTATTCCTCCACATATGTTCAACGACGAGTCCTTACAAAGCTTGCGATTCGTGAAGTTCAATCACGTTCATATAAGACAGCCACACACCTTTATCTGGCCCAATCTCCGTCGTATCGAGCTCACCGAATCACGGTCATGGGCTAGTCCTACGAGCTTCGTGGCTTTCTTCAGTGGCGTACCTCTCCTAGAGGAATTCGTTTCTCGGAACAACGAGCTGTCGAGAGGGGAAGGTAGTTGGGTCAATGCGACACACGTATCGGATCTTCCACCTCTGCGCAGTGTAACAATGGAGCACCTCAAGGTCCTCAAGCTTCACGGACCATACCGCGACATGTTCCTCGCGCTGGCCACACTTAACATACCCTGCACCGCCCTGGTGTCGCTCACGCTCTCTGGAATCTGGCTCGCAGACAACCAGGAGGCGAAGATGCGGATTGTGCACGAGGCTGTGCAGGCCCATTTCGCCCAGGCCACAGAAGACGGCGCCTATTTCGACAGCGTTGCTTTTGATGGACGAACGATGTCTGCCTCTCGTCCCGTTCAAGGCGTTCTCTCACGCTGTCTACCCACCTCCTTCACGCTCAGCATCCCTCTACTCCAGTATACCGACCACGATCCGAGCAATGACCGCCAACTACTTGAAACATCTTTCGCACATCCCATCTTCTATCGCGCCACCTCCCTCACGATCCAATCGCTCGACAAATGCGGTACATCCGGCTCACCCCACCGTCTCGACAGCTTCTACTTTGACGAGCTGCGACGTATCTTCGAGCTTTATGCTCATGTTCATACTCTCAAGGTCATCGGCGAAGACGTCTGTAGCTACGTCGCGAACATCGTCTTACCTGATGGACAAAGACCGCCAAATCTCACCGTGCTGCGGATATATGGGGCACAGTTCACTTCAGTCGCGGCTCCTCCCGAGGCGAATCTCGTCCTTGCAGCCGTTCTGTTGCCCTGTCTACTTCGTCTCGGCGAGACGTTCGAACTTCTGCATCTTCACGGGTGCGCGCTTGGGGAGAAAGATGTCCGAATGCTGCGCGAAGGACTCGGCGAAGGCAGGCTGTCTTTGGTGGACAATCACAGTGGGATTGGAGGGCAAAGATAGTGATGGGTTTATCGAGCTCCTTGTATACTTGACTGATAAGATAGACTATGAAGCAGACGATATCCAATGTATGCAAAGGTATGGTAAAGTAGTGAAGATGGTCCAGGCATGTCCCGATGCTAGTTCAATGTATGAAGACGACGAAGACACACGGTACGGATTGCCCATTAGTAACCTCCAAGATGATGAACGCCGAGTGAGACATAGGTACGATGGTGAAAATAAGGTATTAGTCGTCGGTGAGGTCGATGACCTCTCCTGAATGCGGTACAATGATCGGTGATGGCGCGCGCTCTGCTTTGATCCGGGGGACAGATGCATCAAGCTCTTCTAACTGAGCCCGCAGAGCCGCGGCCTTCGCCTCCTCTGCCGCAAGCTGTTCCTGGAGTTTCATGAGTAAAGTAGCTTCACACTTCAGATCATTTCCACACCTGTATCTTTCGACGTCGTGTCTCCGCCTCACCGTCTATCATGGGCTTAATATCCTGTTCTTCGTCGTTCTGACGAGTTTCAGGAGTTGAGTAACGAACGACGCATGCATAGGAAGAGCGGTCATACCGTATTCATTCGCATCCGTTTGTTACGAGTATATTCTGGACTACCCGAGCGTTTGCGACGTGCTGGGCGGATGGTAGCAGAATCAGCGGGTGCTGGAACTGGTTGTACTGGCCGAGGCATGATGCCCATGGCCTGCAATATCGCTAATGATAGGTCTCTCAGATACTACTCCCACCATCTATCAGAGCACGATCGGAGGGCGCACCTGGTGGACGATGCACAAAGCGGAAAACAGCACATGGCTCTTTGCCGATGGGAGCATAACCGTATTGATCCCTATCGCTGCGTACATGCTTCTCAACGTTTCCGAGCCTTGTTTGCATGATGAATCATTCAAGAGAAATCAAGGCAGAATGCCAACGCACTTAGCGTGGTTTGCGCCAATGAGCTTGGACTTCTCCGATAGAACGACACCATTGTTGAGGGCACTTGTTGTCACAGCACGCTTTCCACTGCGTTTCTTCCGGAAGGCAGGGAGAATCTGAACTTCTATGACGGCAAGATCTTTCGATAGCGGTGAAGGATCCGTGGATTCGTTCTCATCTAGGAACCCGTCAGTGACTGTGATCCTGCGATGCTACAACGCGCGACATACCTGGCGCGAACACCACTTCTGAGAAAAGAAAAGCCTGTTTGGTATCATAAGCAATGCGCCACCTGACCTCGCTCGCGGCTGAGTCCGGTCCTCCCTGTCCAGCCATATAGTGTCCATCGGCATAAACGTCAACTACTTTATGCTCATGGCTATGTCGTTTTGTGCGAGCATAGCCCACTGCGAATGGCTGGAACGTAAAAAGATAAGCGAGCGTAGTTTGATACTGGATGCTGCTAACCTTCCCGGCCTGGCTCGGTATCCAGCAGGTCATGGTCCGGTCGTCGATCTTCTCAACCTGGTACTGAGGGAGTTCTTCACCCTCAGACTCGATATGAACCTCGTATCCCTGTATTGATAGAGGCATTTTCGACGCGAGTAGTGTAGATAAAGTAGGTATGGAGTGTGACGCGTTGGGGAGTAGAACCTGAATGGTGGGGGATGGTGGGAGAGAGCAACCTCGGTTGCATTCGACCACCCTGCGCGCGACGCGTCGGAACGCGGTGGTGTGACTTGAGTGATGCCTTTCCACGTTCCAGAACTAGCCAAGCTAGGTAACGGACGCGCTGTGCAGAAGTAATAGAAGTAACCCATGAGGAAGTTCCTAATCGCCTGAGCCATCTGAGGGCATCTCATGGACCTCAGGGTGCCCGAAGATAATTGCCCATGCGTTGCCAGGCGGTTCGGGCAGGAAGAGAAGACACTGACCGGCGGCTATAAGCGAGTGATTGAGTGATTTCACCGAAGAAAGCATAACACTGGAGCACCATGTGAGTCTAATGCATATAAAGCAGTCCAGAGTCGAGAGGCTGGTATTCCCACGGAGTTGGCATGACTAAATGGGCAAGAAGACAGTGGAAAGCACGATGAAAACCGTCATAGAGCATATCAGAGATATGGACTGCATCCTTCAATCAATAAGGTCGATGACCTCCCCGGGCCTAGGCACATTAATGGGAGGTGAGGCTTCCAATTTAACGTGCGCGCCTTGGCCTCTATGTAGGGAATAAATGGTCCGCCGCCCAAAGCATCTTTGACCTACGTACACTTTGAGACTACAGCTATAGCAAACAGGAACACGGTTGAATCACATACACTCGATGTACGTCGAGAGATGGCACGTATCAAGTAAGCGGGAGGGCAAACACGTGCCCGCCGAAAAGCCGTCTGCATCAATGCCGTTCGCTCACTGAGTTATCTTGAGATTACAGTACTGCGGGCAAGGGACACAGTATTTGGGCAATGAAGCAAGAAAGAACTATGGTCAGCGTCTTGATACTTCAGAGTTCGCCCGTCAAGTCAATAACCTCCCCTCGTCGCGGTACGCTGATAGGTGACGGTCGGCGCTCGGACTTCACAGGTGAAACGGTTCCCCTCGGGGCCACTTGCGACTCGGCAGCCTCGGCCTCCTCTAGTTGAGTCCGAAGAAGCGTAGCCCTCGCCTGTCTGGCTGCCGCTTCAGCCTCTTCAACTGCGATCTCCGCCTATTCGTATGTTAGAACAGACATCTAGAGTGTATTGGTGTGCCAAGACACGGACCTGAATCCTACGGCGTTTGGCTGCAAGAGAGTCGCTCGGCGATGTAGGCGGCGTGGGCATCGGTGCCGACTGCGATGCTGGCTTGATATCGTCCTGTTCCTGAAGAAACAATTGTCATTCCCAAGCTTGCGAACGATCAGCGCCCCGTCCATACCTCCAGTCGTAAGCGCTTGACCGGTATGGGCCTCCTGGTGCTTGTCCGCTGTACGGCTGGTGCCAAGCGCGAAGTCGACGGCTGGGATGATGCAGATGGTTGCGTAGTTTGTGGCGCTACGTCCATCGCCTGAAGCATGGCTAGATGATCCGAGTGAGCAAGATCATCACAAGTCACGCATAAAGTCAGCGCACCCAAAGGTCGATGATTAAATCGGAACCTGGCGTAAGGCTCGTCTAATCATTGTCTTTCCGCCACCGGTACCTGAACGTGACCCGGAGGGTGCCGGACCCGAAAACGTGTCTCGCAACTTTTCCGGAACGAGACTCTGGCGGATGCACGTGAAGGGTTGTGGGTGCTGTCCGTGACTTCGTTTATTGTAGAACATACCGTTGTCCACAATCTACCACCACTCCCGTAGCACGACCTTTGCAATGCCATTTCGTTTATTCCCCACCGCCCCCCATGCCCCGCAGCGACTTCGACTGGGATTCCAATAGTGGTAAATTCCCTCTCCACTTTGCCGACGATGATGCCTTCTCTGTTTGGCGCCGAGACTACCAGCGCGCGCACGGCGTTCAATTCAAGGGTCATCAACGCCGCCAATCAGACTCTCGCGCCGCCACGAAGCCCTTCCTATGGTCCCAGGACTGGACATGCACACGAAAAGGCACCGGCGGCACGAAGCATTACGTCCCAAAGCACAACTTCACACGCAAGGTCGAGAATCGTCGTACAGGCTGTCCAGCAGCATTCTACATCAAGAAGTACCCCGGTCGTGACGACATCTTAGGGCACTGGCGCGATGAGTGCCACAACCATACGACGGGCTTCGAGAACCTGAAGTTCACTGGTGTGGAGAAGGAAGTGCGAGAGCTCATCGTCGGATATCTGCGAAGCGGCGTGTCCATCAACTACATCGTGCGTTGCTGTTATTCCACTTCGGGCCGAAGGTTTAATGAACTCTATCAGCTTGATCTTCTTCATGAGGGCTTCGACGACAGAGGTATTCTCGAAACACTGCGCACCGACCTCATCGAAGCGGACTATATCCGGCGCATTCAGAAGAGGCTCGAGTCCGAGTATGTCCACTTCTCTACCAATGATGGCATATCAACTTTGGACTGGGTTGCAAAGCTCAAGGCAGACGATGCCTTTCTTGGCTACAAGGGCGTCAATGACGATCCTCCTGATGGCTCCCACCTCCCCACCAAGGCATTCTTCCTCGCGATACAGACACCCTATCAACGGACTCGTTTCGCTCAGCTTGCTAGCACCCGTCTCGTCTGCATCGACGGTACCCACAATACCACAATGTATCAAGGGATGCAGCTGTATACGCTGATCTGCCGAGATGGTCATGGGAAAGGTGTGGCACCTTGCTCCTGCCTAATGCGGTTAGGATTTAATCTCCATTGCCTGCAGGCGTTCCGACAGCATGGCTTCTTTCCAATTCGGGAACAGAGGAGACTCTCTCGCACTTTCTCCGTCTCGTTCGCAAGAAGAACCCCTCCGTCGTACCTAATATCTTTATGTCCGATCGCGACCTTGCCCAGATGAATGCTCTGCACGCGGTTTATCCCGAAAGCACCATTCTGTTATGCTGGTGGCATGTCCTGCACGCGTGGCAGCAGCACATCCAAATCGGGAAGCATCGCGACGTGTGGGAGCTTCTGAAGGGCTGGATACGCATTACGTCGCCCGATGCGTTTCGCGCGCGGTGGGAGGAGATCAAGCTCCGCGCGCCGCCGTACTTCGTGACCTACCTTGAACAGAATTGGCTGGGCCAGAGTACGAAGACTCTGGGGGTCGATTGGGAAGTTATGTGGTCAGCTGTGTACAGGCAGGACCGCAGTATTTTCGAACAATGCGACACGAACATGCTTATTGAGGCGTAAGTTCTTTCGCGTCCATTTGTTTGGGCCTCGTTCTCATCGATCTCGGCAAACAGGTATCATCATCAGATCAAATGGAAGTTCTTGGGTGGGAAGCGCAATCGTCGGGTTGACGATTTGTTGTATACGCTTACTGGTGATGTTCTGAAATACTATGTTCGTCGTGAGCGACGGCAGATTGCTGGGATGGAGGGAGATAGCCTCGAACAGAAAGAGCACAAGAAAATCGTCGCTCTCAGCAAGGAAGTGACTGCCGCCCACATTGTTGTACGTGTGGAGCGCTTCTTTTGCCTCGAGGCCGAACTCTGATTTGATTCGCAGCATTGCGCAGGCTCGGTGTACACGGTTCGTTCGCTTACGACGGCGGGCGTGAATTACCGCGTCAATCTCACAGCCGCAACCTGCACCTGTCCCTCCTTCCCCGCCGTACGACTTTGCAAGCACCTCTATGCTTTGCAAAGCCTCGTCCAAGATTTCGAAGTCATTGGCGACGGCGCGACACTTGACATGGACGGCAGCGAGGACGGCAGCGAGGACGAGAACACGCCGTCGCGCGACTCAAGTCCGGCCGGCGAACCCCCGGCTACATATGCCTCTGGGAACGCCGATCCTGTACTCGCGTCAACATCTTTGGCGAAGGCAGATATTCTGCTTACTCTCGACCGCCTCTCCGCTGCTCTCCGCGCCTCCACCGACCCGCTACCCGACAGTGTCGAGGATCTCACCGTCCGCGCGCTGGCGGCGCGGTATGCTCACGTCGAAATTCTTCCTGCGAGGAAGAAGATCGGACCGAACACGGGCACCGCTGCGGACTTCTCGCGCGCGTTCAACATGCCGAAGGTGAAAGGCTCGCGATCTATCCCGAATCCCGACCGCGATGAGGCATACGGCGGTGGCGCGGCCAGTGGGCAGAAGCGGAAATCTGCAGAGCAAGCTCACCGGTACGTCGCGAGGGAATTTACATGGGATAATAACTGATGTCAGCTATAGGACTACTGAGAACAAGCGTATTCGCGACGAGACTCATATTGTTTCGTCATGCTCGCTCGATCCTTCCCCGCCCTTATCACTGCCCTCCCTCCCTCCTAGCGATACACCCTCTGTCACCTGCAATCCTGCCATCCCGGGGCCAACACCGTCTACTAATTCCCTCGGTATTGCCTCGCCACCATCACATCCTAACCCCTCAGACCCAACTGCCACCCAGTACCCTCATCCCCAACAAGTACCCCATGCCTACTCTGCCCCATATTATACACAACCTACTAGCTCATCTACTTGCTGGCCTCCTACCGACTACTATAATCCTTACAACTCCCTTCCTGTGCAGTACCCCTGGCCTTACGCTTAATAGGGGTTTAAATCACTCATATATTCATTTAAAGTGTCCATATAAATATATCACTCTTCTATATAGTTCAGGAAAGGGTCCGATACATCGAAAGGAAGCCTACCATAGTGTCTAGAGCGATACGCTGCGACCGTGCACGACAACGACGACCAACTCCCGTGCATGACGTGTCCTACGCCGATGCACCGGGCGCTCGGCGGACGGATCCTCGGACACGGCTGCCGGATCATCCCGAAGGTCACGTTCAGGTACCGGTGGCGGAAAGTCGCCAACTGGCTCGTCTACATCAACCGCTGTGACAATCCCACGGCGAATGATCGGCTTGGATGTGTGAACGGCGCCGAGCCTGATCATCAATCTGTTAAGATAACGAGCGGAAGAGACGGTTCTGCGTACTTGGTATGGTTCGCGCCGATAAGTTTGGACCTCTCGGACAGACGGATACTGGTGTCCAACCCTGTAGGCTCATCCAAGAGCAGCTCGCGACCGTCACTAGTCTCCCAAATGGCGTCCCAGATCTTGACTTCGATGACGCCGACGTCATCCGACTGACTACCAGTAGACGGGTCTTCATCTTAGACCATCGCACATCAAGAACTACCGACGCGACGGCAAACACCACGGTGAACGACTTACCTGGCTCGAGGGTTACCTGAGCGAACATGAAAGGTTGCCTCAGAGTTTCAGAAACACGGCAGTTCCTCAGGCTCCCACTCTTCTGGTCTATACTGCCACCAGTCGTGAGTTCGCGTCCGTCCGCGATGACGCTCACGAGTTTGTGTTCGTGCGTATGGCGTTCGACGGTAGCGTAGTGGACCGAGAACGTCTGAGAGATTGAAAATTGTTCAAGATAACCTGTATTCAAACATACAGCACGGTAAGATACCCACTTTCCCTGCTTCACTAGGCATCCAACATGTTATCGTCCGCTCGTCAACTTGTTGGACTCGGTACTGCGGGAGCTCTCTTCCTTCGGACTCTACATGCGCTGTATATCCTCGGCAAGTTATGGGCATCGAAATGGTATTGATCAAGGGATAAGTTGTAGTTATCAGAGCAGAGACGCGACACGGATGAGCGTAGGTGGTGATGAAAGGAAGCAACACGCGGTCGAGCATGCAGACAGGAAGACGCGGGGTCGTGATCTCTCTCACGCCCTGCCTCGTGCTTCCCCGCAGTTTCCCCGCTGTGGCGATGAGCTCGGTCAGAGCGTGTTCTGAGCGCGCCACTTGGATCTGGGCATGATGACAGGCGTGAGCGAGTCTCGTGGGCATGTCCGAGCGTCAGTCGTTCGTGAGATCGACTACCTCGCCCGACTGAAGCAAGCGAATGGGCGAAGGCGCGCGTTCCGCCTTCACTCGAGTCCTTCCGGCACGAGCTGTAGTCATAATCTCCTCCAGTTCGGCTTCTAATGCCAATGCCTTCGCCTCATGTGCGGCTGCTTCCGCCCTTTCGGCAGCTACCTTAGCCTAGCCGAGCCGTGAGCACAGGTCCAATGAAACGGCGAGAACGCGCAGACCTTGATCTTGCGACACTTCGCTTCGAGTTCGTCGTCCACGATTGACTGAGCGTTGGATTCTTCCTGTGGTGTAAAAGGTTCGGCGATTTTTGCGGATATGGGAGGAGGATCAGTATACCTCTTTCACGCGACGGCGCTTCTGCGATGTTTGTGCTGGGTTATTGGGGCGTTTACGAGTCTGGAGAGTAGAGCAGGGCCCAGAGAGGGCTCGGGGAGAAGGTTGTCCAGCGGGTCGTGGTATGATTCCCATAGCCTGAAGGACAGCTGTACAACAAAGACAGACATTACATGCCTGCGTCAGATGAATGACGTGAGAGATGAACGTGATTGCAGACCTTGTGGACGGTGTTTGAAGCGGAAGACGGCATAAGGCTTGTGGCCGATTGCTTCGTACCCGATGCACTCATCGCCAAAGTCCTCCGGGTCGTAAGTTTCAGCGGGCCCCGATCTGAAGCCCCGTCATGGGGGACAAGAATGCGAGCAGATGAAGAGATACCTACGTGACCTGATTCACGCCCAGAAGCTTAGATCTTTCAGAGATACGGATGTCATCCAGCGGCTCTACGATGTACTTGACCGGTATCTTCTCCACAGACTCCTCGGCGGCCCATATCTCGACCTGAATGACTGCAACATCCTCTACTGGAGTCTTTACCGTATCCTCCGCGGCATCGTCTGGTTGGGGATCAACGCACTGATTCTGGTATCGCTCTTGGAGCAATGACATACCCGATGTGAAGTGAACCTCAGAGAACACAAAGCGCTCCTGTTCAGTCTCTGAGATTCGGCGGGAAGCCACTAAGCCCGCGTCGCCGACTTCGTCTTCACCTCCCACTCTGTACAAGTCACGACCGTCGGCTCTGACATCCACGGTATAGTGGTTGTGCCCATGGCTTCCGGTGACTGAGAAAGCGACTCCAAAGGCCTTGAGCGGAACAATGAGACCATCACTAAGAGCCTGTAGCGGCGATTGCACAAGATCTGACAGACCTTTCCGACTTCACTCGGTATCCAACAAGTGATGGTTCTGTCGTTTACCACCTCCGCCTGGTAATGAGGAAGCTCTTGTCCGTCTGATTCTATGTGCACGGAGTAGCCACGGTGTATGAGAGGCATGCGAAATAACAGTGGTTAGAAGACGGAATCCTTGTATCTCAGATCGAACACCAACGAAGGGCGAGGTGGCGGGTGGAAGCAGCTGCCTTCGCGCCACGCACGCGGTGCCGCTAACTAGTCATGTCGCGGTGGCGTGACAGTTCGCACGCATGTCATTGCCTATGCAGGCCGTTCCGTACGGAGCGGACAGCCATCCCCTGGGATGAGAGTCTTCGCTTCACCAACCAAACATCTCTCATGTATTGGGATCGTGCATCAAGGCACGAAGAGATCGAACGACCCTTATGGCTATCGGGCTATCGACACTTATCATATTTCCCCAATAATCACGCATAACGAGATCAGCGACTACATCCTGGCAGATCCATGACGCTCCCGGACGCCTAGTGTCATCCACATCCAAGCGCAGCTTCGCTCGCTGAGTAAGTTCTGCAGCTTCCTTCGGCACGCCCAACAACGCCATTAACTGCAACTTCTCGCTCGCTCGCAAGTCTATTGCAGCGCGAGACCCCGTTCAACTTCGAGCGCGTTAAACACTGCAGACGCGAAAGTGTCAGCTCGACCGGTTATCTGGTGAGTGAAAGAAAATAACGTACTGGAGCAGGCGGTCAGGAACTCGTCAGCAAGCGTGGCGTTCACGACCGTTTCGATGTCCGCGGGGAGAGTGGGCTACGCGTCATGCCTGATTCGCGGCGTCAGTATACCGACCACCCAATACAGGACGAGCGAAGTACCTGCAAAGCATTGAGCGCCCGACGCATGTCGCCCTCGCTCAACCGCAACAACGCAGCGCGTCCACCAGATGTGACCTTCACCTTCTCAGCCTCGATACTAAAGCCATCGTCAGCTTCATGCAGCACCATAGCAAGCCAAAAGGTGAAAATCACACATCTATAACCCTCTTCTCAACCCCCGAGATCGGCAACGGCTGAAACCGAAACCTCATACACCGACTCTGAGTCTGAATCGCGTTGTTCTCGGTATTGTGGAAGTGCTCTTCCCTCGGACTCCATATGGGCTGTATATAGATTATGGGCATCGCAATTGTATTAATCGGGCGGTAAGCTATAGCGACGAGAGTAGGAAAGCAACACGGATGAGCGTAGGTGGTGATGAAAGGGAACAACACGCGGTCGAGCGTGCAGACAGGAAGACGCGGGGTCGTGATCTCTCTCACGCCCTGCCTCGGGCTTCCCCGTAGTTTCCCCGCTCCGGCGGTGAGCTCGGCCAGACCGTACCCTCAGTGTGTCATGTCGACATAGGCATCACGTATGTCTCTCGAGTTCATGAAATAGTTCGTTGCGGGACACAACTCTCGGCATGTCTGAGCGTCAGTCGTCTGTGAGATCGACTACCTCGCCCGACTGAAGGGAGCGGATGGGCGAAGGCGCATGTTCCGACTTTACTCGCACCCTTCCCGCCGGTGCAGTAGCCTCAAGCTCCTCCAGATCAGCTTCTAAAGCTAATGCCTTCGCTTCATGGGTAGCAGCTTCCGCCCTTTCGGCAGCTATCTTGGCCTATTCAGACGATGAGCATGGTTCGATAGAGTTCAAGAGCGGGTGTCGGACCTTGATTCTGCGACGCTTTGCTTCCAAGCCATTGTTGGCAGTATGCTGAACGTCCAGTACCTCCTGTGTTACGACAGTCTGAGTGAGATCCTGGACGTAACGTGAGGCTCACTGCACCTCTTTCACGCGCTTCCGCTTCCGTGCTCTCCCTACTGTATCACTGGGACTACCAGACTGTTCGCGAGCGATGAGTTCGGACGATGAGGCAACAACTGGCGCAATCGACTCCTGATCCCTTGGCATAATACCCATTGCCTGTAGAACAGCTAGGAGAGCGTGTTGAGAGACCAGTCGGGGCACTGTGGTAGTAATAACTGCGCACCAGGTGGTCGATGTTTGAAACGGAAGATAGCATATGGCTCGTGCCCTTGGATCTTGTAGACATGATGAGATAACTGCGGCGCGCAATATAGTTCAGGACCATACCTACCACAGGTGTTAGCAGACACGCATGCAGATCAGCTCAAGACATACTTGACATGGTTCGCACCAATGAGCTTAGATCTCTCAGACAAGCTCACATCACCATCCGGGACCCTGCCTGCACCTACGACAACCAAGGGGACATCGCGCTTTATTCTCTCGGCAGGCCATATTTCAGCCTCTATAACCGCCAGATCCTTCAATGAACGGGTGACTGTGTCATGGTCACCATCATCTACGGTGAAATAAGATGCTGTTAAAATACCCCTTGTTTGCAACTACAGACCTGGATTGAGCGTTACTTCGGAAAAAAAGAATTCCTGCTTGCTACTATTGGATATCCTTCTATGGGAAATGGTACGCGCATTGTTGTCTTCATCGGCCACTGAGGAGAGTTCGCGCCCGTCGGCGTCCAGGTACACACACTTGTATACGTGGTCATGTGGATGAACGGTAGAACAGCGAACCGCGAAAGTCTATGATTCAGCGCGTCAGAGTCTGAAGAAAGCTCAGCGGGCTAACAAAAGCCAGAGCACGTCTTACTCACTTTCCCCGCCTCGCTCGGCATCCAGCACGTTATGGTCCGCTCATCGACTTCTTCGACCTGAAATTGAGGCAGCTCCTTTCCCTCAGACTGTACATGCACGGAGTAGCCCCGAAAAGTAAGAGGCATCTAAAATGATCCTACAAGGCACAACTTGGGGTTCGAGCTGGTACCGTTAAGCAGGCGGCGATGACAGGAGAAGGCAAGAATTGCAAGACGCGCGTGCCGCGGCGGCGTCGCCAGCCATTTCGCACGCAACGCGGTGTCGTGACCGTGCCTAGCCGCGTAACCAGTCCGCTATCTGAGCGTGAGGAGGCGAGCACCGCTGTCGTAGGGAAACTCCCCTCTCAAACTTTTGCGGCAGCGGTCTGGTAACGAGACCAGACCGGGCCAAGAGCGGCGGTATCTTTATTGCGGTCAAAATAGTCTCGAGTCCACACGACTCAACTCAACGCATCTCACTGGCGACTCTGTTTGCGGGAATTCACAGTGGGCTGAGGTTGGGCTGAGGGCGCCGTGTGCATGCTTGTGCATTTACAACATCAAGGGTCTGTATCCGAGGTATGCCTGGCTCACTCTCAAGCTGGACCCCACCAGTACAAGTATAAATTTGCAAGCGTAGTGTCCTAGACAACTAAGGCGTTTGGGTATCGTGCGGCTCGGTACATGGCACTACTGCTAGGCCTACACACTATACGCTGGCCTGATTCCAACGTGCACTGCATGAACCTTCAATCACGTGGTAAAAGCTCCAGGTAATCTTGGACACAATGCACAAGGATACGAGAAACCTCTCACGCATACGTCGCTATGTAGTCGCGGTAGCTTTGGCCCGTTCAGTCAGCTCGACAGCGTTCTTGAACACGCCCAACAACGCCGTAAGCTGCAGCTTCTCGCTCGCGCCACTCGCCAACCGATGTCTACGCACGCACAATTGTCAGCTCTCATGCCCTATCCTCACTGTAAGGAAGTGGGGTACGTACTCGGTCGTAGCCATAGCATCAAGCAGGTACACCCTCGCTACAGCGGGGAACTCAATCGTCTCGACGTACTCCGCTGCGCCGATGAGCAGGTCTTGCAGCGCGAGACCGCGTTCGGCTTTGAGTGCGTTGATCACTGCAGACGCGAGAGCTTCAGTTCGGCTAGTTGTGAAGTGAGGGAAAGGAAAGGACGTACTGGAGTAGGCGGTCAGGAACTCGTCTGCTAGCATGGCGTTCACGACTGTCTCGATGTCGGCAGGGAGAGGACTGCCAGTACACAGGTAAACCTCTTCTTCGCCGACGGTTTCGTAGGCTGCGTGACATGCCTGGTTCGCAGCATCAGTATACGAAGTGAAACGGTACAATGGGAGTAAGGTACCTGCAGTACGTTAAGCGCGCGACGCATGTCGCCCTTGCTCAACCGCAGCAACGCAGCGCGTCCCTCGGGCGTAACCTTCACCTTCTCTGCCTCAATCCTACTCAAGTATCAGGCACCACCCCCACATCGCAGCAAGAGAGAACAAACGCACACATGCATAACCCTCTTCTCAACCTCCGGAATCGGCAGCGGCTGAAACCGAAACCTCGTACACCGACTCTGAATAGCCGGCACGATCTTATTCACATAATTACAAACAATACAAAACCTGACGTTCCGCGTATACTGCTCGATGACCCTCCTCAGCGCCGCCTGCGCAGCAGTCGTCATCGCGTCCGCCTCATCCAGTATCACCAGCTTGAATCCGGACGCGAACAAAGTGCGCGTCTCGGCGAACTGCTTTATCTGGGCGCGCACGACGTCGATGCCGCGCTCGTCCGAGGCGTTCAGCTCGAGGATTTGTTTGCGGAATTGAGGGCCGTAGATGCGCCGGGCGACGGCGAGGATTGTGGATGTTTTGCCGGTGCCTGGGGGGCCGTAGAAGAGGAGGTGTGGGAGGCGGTTTTTGGCGATGAAGGATTCGACTGGGCGGGTGGTGCTGAGCTGGAGAATATATTTGCGAGGGTGGGAGGAGAGACCTACTTGTCGTGGTTATGTCTTTGTGAGAGACGACATCGTCGAGGGAGACGGGCCGGTATTTCTCGACCCAGGGCAGCGACGCGTCGTGCTCTCGCTCGAGTGCGTGGTCGCGCTCGACACCCTTTCCTTTCGCGGCGGCAGAGAACCGGAGAGTCGGGCCCTCGCCGTCAGACACCATTTCAGCGTCGCTGCTCATGTTGAAAAGTCCAAAAGAGGGAAAATCCGAGAGGTATGAGGGCTGCGAGGTGGAAACAGGAGCCCGGAAGGAGATGACGCGCCACGGACAAGACGCGACGCGACGCGTTTCAACTCAACGCGACCACGTGCAGACCTTACTCGAAGAAGGCAAAAGCACCCACGCACGGACCATCGACAAGATCAAGCGCGCGGGAAAGCTTACGTACGCCGCTCTCTTCGCCCGCGCGCTCGATTTTTGTGGCTCTTCAGACTCTTCCGTCGACGACTCCACCTCAGTGCTGGACAGATAGAGGCGTCGGTGCGTTCTCTTACTATACCTCGATATACATCTTTACTGATATCAGAAATAGTTCACGATGCAAATTTTTGTCAAGACCCTCACGGGCAAGACCATCACGCTCGAGGTCGAGTCCTCTGACACGATCGACAATGTCAAGGCCAAGATCCAGGACAAGGAGGGCATCCCGCCCGACCAGCAGCGCCTGATCTTCGCCGGCAAGCAGCTCGAGGACGGCCGCACCCTCAGCGACTACAACATCCAGAAGGAGTCCACCCTTCACCTCGGTGCGTTTCCTTCATCTTTTTCTTTCTTGCTCAGAATATATTTGCTCATGATTATGATTATGATGGCGTGTAGTGCTTCGCCTCCGCGGTGGCGCCAAGAAGCGCAAGAAAAAGACGTACAACACGCCCAAGAAGATCAAGCACAAGCGCAAGAAGGTCAAGATGGCCATCCTCAAGTACTACAAGGTCGAGAGCGACGGCAAGATCAAGCGTCTCCGCCGCGAGTGCCCCACCCCGACCTGCGGTGCCGGCGTCTTCGTACGTCTTTTTTATATCCTACTTGCTCATGGTTATACTTACACGCTGTTTGCAGATGGCCTTCCACCAGGACCGCCAGTACTGCGGCAAGTGCGGCTTGACGTACACGTTCCAGCCGGGCACCAAGCCCCCGGTCATGTAAATTCATACTACATGTAGCCGTAGCCGTCTCGTTTTGCCACTTGTATGCTCTTCCATGCGATTATGCGTCGTAGGCCTTTACTATCAGCATCGTGTGAACTCGGACTGCAAGACATTCATGCGCCCGACCACAGTTGGCGCGCGCACCGACACGTGAATGTGCTAATTCGATGTATATTGGCACTAACATGTTAAGCGTACTGTTTTCTGATATGCGTGTACGATCGAGCGACGATCTCTGTCGTGCCAATCGGTGTGGGTGTGGGTGTGGCCCTGAGGCCTGAGCAGGACGGAGGCCCGAATAAACCAGCCAATAATGCGCTTGCCGCCATCCCCAAGCCCTGAGAACCATCGCGATGAGACACAGACGCCTTGTCTTCGACCGCCATCGTCCTTTCCCAATACGCTCTACCGTTTTCCTCCCTTTTCAGACCGTTTACTGCGCCCGGTAGCTCGTGAAGGCCGTGGGATATGTCGCCACTCGTCGCCAAAACGCCTTTCCGTGAAAACGCTCCTTCGGCTGGTCCCGGAAAACGCCTTTTTCGCCCGCGTTGCTCGGGTTATTTTGGAGATTGCGAGCGCAAACGATTGCTACTGGTGTATGCGTGCTGGATATGCATCAAAATGGCGAGGCGGGCTGGAAGGAAAACGTTGTATTATGTTGTGGTCGTGGTGGACGGGAAATGGATGGACACGCGTTGGAGTTGTGGGCGGTTATGGGCGCAAATGTCATCGCGCGTACAGGGCGGAGGACCCGGCGAATGTACTCGATCAGGTTGGATAGAGAGCGGCGAATTGGTTGGATGCTGGTTGGATGGAATGGCGAAGCTTCCACACGTGCGGGAGGATAGACGCGCCAGTCGTTGTGTCCCGACGCGCGATAAATCGTGGTTCATGGATGGAAAACTGGTGGATGCACCAAGCAGAATATATCGAGCGCTCTCGATATCGAACGCAACAGTCTCGCGCGTGCCTTTCTCCGCTGTCGTGGGCTGTCTTCTCTTCGCAGTGAGATTGAGGGGAAGATGTTCCTCCCTCCATCTTTCGCGACGTTGAGCTCCACAGTAGACGCGAGAATCGCGACGTCGCAGAAGTTGTTGCGCTCAGCGAAACGCGGCGCATCTGCGGTCCATCGCAGCGGTCGATTGATAATGTGCGCGGGATGGATGCAGTTCTCTCATGAAATGGTGTTCACCTACCAGAACTGCGCCTCGGCGCACAACAACAAGATTGCAGAGATACGTCTTTTGACCCTGTTTGGCCGTGGATCGTCCAGTCGTCCTCGTCTTGCGGCCGTTCCTGCGACGTTGGAGGGGGCGACTGTCGCGAAACCCACTGGACGGCAGTGCCACGTACCTTGCATATCTTTCCTTCTAGATTGGTTTCTTCTTCTCTGGTTTTGCGAATTGATGCGTGTACGAACGCTTGCTGATGTGCATCTGTTCATTGCAGGGACGACGACAAGAGGGAAGGGTCAGGCGCCGAGGATTGCCTCTGCGGAGCATACGTCGAAGAGCTTCCATAGCGAAGTGAGAAACCGCCCCCTCGTCCTTAAGAGATCGCCGAATGCATAAGGCTACGATGTGTGGCTCATGCAAACGCAGAGGCGACTCTACGGCGGCATATAAGCCTTCCACCTCGTTCGCATGGTCACCAACGCGTAGACGACAACACACTCCTCTGTCCTCAACTAATTCGCTCATCGGTGACCTCAAACACTCGTATGAGCGCCGCACGCAGGATGAGCATGGCCACATCGAGACTACCAGCCTGACCTATCGACGCAAGAAAGAGGACGAGCTCTTGCAGAGCTTCATGTCTACCACCTGTCACGTCGGCATCTCCACGGTCTAGGAGGCCCATGACGAGGTCACATACGTTGGCGGCAAGATTGGGACCAAGCTACGCCACGCTTTGACCCGTTCATTGCCCGAGGAGCTCTTAAGACGGCGTTCTTCCTCACCATGAGAAGAGTGACACCCTGCCCGGCGTGGACGGCGCGTTTGCATCTAGAGCAGTGCATCGTCAACCCTGGGGGACACATCCGAGCCGACAAGACCGGTGAACGTTAAACCAGTCATTCAGAAGCATCAAAACGCTTTCTGGAGTCGTCGAAGGTACATCGCTGCGTCTTCGACGACATACTCGCAGCCCTGTCAAGATGCGTGACAGCAACGGAGTCTACGACGAGCGGTGGAATCTCGTCGCTGGGAATCTCGTACACCGGTGTTAGAGCGTGAGACCGTCTACGGCGACAGGATACCCTCAGGGCGAGCGTGGCAACTTTGCGCGTCTACGCGACGCTACAGCCTTATTGCAGTCTTCACGACAGCACTCTGCACCTGCGCCATACCCCTGGAGGCTGGAACAAGCGGTGGCAGGACGCGTTCGATCCCCAAAAGCATGTCCCTGCAGAGAATCCAAGCCAATGTTGAGAAGCCTGGCTAGCGGGCACCACACTGCCGCCAACCTGCTCTCGTGAGCTGCAGTTGCATTCGGATACATGGCCGCATTCAATGCAGAAGTCAACCTGTACTCTTCGTGGCCTTTTCGCGGAGGATGCAGTGCTGCGCATGGGCGGCGCTGGCGAACGGCGAGGTGGATGTCATAGGTGGACGCGTGAGCGCCGTACTCCGCGCAGGCAACCGGCGCCCTTCGCCGGACCCATCGAGCTTAATATCCCCGGGGCAGTGGACGGTGGCTGTAGAGGAAATGCGAGAGAATAGGTCCAGCGAGCGATGAAGATGAAGCGAGGATGGTCAATCAGGTGAAGGACGACGCCGCGAATGCGCTGGAGCTCGCCACCGACGACGCCGAGCACATGTGTGTCAATACCTCCCCAGGAGGTGGGACCTTTTTGGGCGTGGATCGAGGTAGCCATGCCACCGGACGGGCATACGCGAGGGCATCCCATGGAAGGGAAGAGATCATCTGGAAAACGCCATCGGCGCGCAGGTCGATATTCAGCATCGCCAGATGTCCATCCTTGCGGGTGGCATCCTCGTCAGAGGTGAATCTCGTGTATGAGCTTGCCCGCGATTGTATATGCTGAAGCACGGCGCAGAAGATCATGGCGTGAAGAGCTGAAAGTCGCATCAAGACGCGATTGATGGGTTTAGCGCTTGCATGTGATTTCGATTGTCAGAGGTGCGTTGATGCTTCGCGAGTCGCGTGATGGTGGTTGACGAGTATCCCAGTCCTAGTTTATCGAAGCTCAGAAGCAGAGGATGTATACGATGATGTCATGCGGGGAACAGTATTGCCCGCGCGATTGCCAGCTTCAACGACGTGTATCGTCTCGGAAGATTGAACTAACAACGGGATCGCTGTGAGCAAGCAGATGGAGGCTGAGTACAGGATACGATGGTACGGTGGTGGCCAGGATCCTATTCTACCATCGCGTATGCTCTCTTTGTGGCCTCTACTGCGCTACTGAGCTTCCATTTTCAACAATGGAGCGACGTCCGAGTCCACATCTGAAGTGTTCCTCAGCGACGCTATTGTTCATCTGCCCTGCGGGGCCGTCTACGCTTACTCGTCGTCTCGGCAGTAGCGACAAGGGAAGTTTCTGCGCGCGGCTCCTGCCGATTTACTAGTTTCTCGCGCTCAACTGGCAGAGCGGTTGTTCAACGACGTGGTTTGGTTTGATTTGGGGACGTTACTTAAGCCGCGTCTCGCATTCGGCGTTCAGCGCTCAGCGCACAACTCTCACCTGCGCATCCCACCACAACTTCTGCTTCCGGCCAACCATGGCTACCACCTCTCAGGCCACGATGTCTGACACCACCGCCGCATCGCTCACTACCGACGAGCGCAACGACCATAACTATAACTACATCAACCAGACCGTGCGCGCTCTTGAGCGTCCGAGGGTCGCTGCCCACGGATATCTTGCTTTCGTGAAGGCGAGCGTACATCTGGCTGGCAATGGCGGGGACATCTGTAGCAAGATTCATGTGTGTAGTCCATGATATGATTGGACAACTCCCATTCTGACCGACGGTTTAGCGACTTCTGGGAGAAAGCGCGCGGGAATTTTGCTTCAACGGCAACGCCTACGACAAGGGCTGCGAGACTGAGGCGGTCCAGAGTTCGATGCCGTTCTACCTAGGCGGTGTTATACCTCATTATGAATGCGTGGAATGCCTCGAGGCGTATGTTGTCCGTTTACGTGAAATAAGCTTGTCTCATGCTGACGGCTCGCAACTAGAAACCCGCGTTGCGAGACAAACACTCGCCATGCTTTTTTGAACCATGGTACAAAGAAGGCAAAGGACGGAACAGTGACGAAGTTGTCCCCTAAGGAAGCGCGTCTCAAATATGTCGAGGTGTTTATGCCGCACGAGGTGGCCAATAATACTACCGACTGGATGGGGCAGCTATATAATGGCAAGCTCACCTCTCGGCCTAAGCTTCTGGGCAAGCGTGACGTTGCCCCAATTGCATCTCGGGTTGAGGCATTGATGCAGGACATCATCGCTGAAAACCCTCAGCAAGTGATTCCCGGGCCTGGGGAGCGCCTGGAGCCGGCTCCGCCGCCCCCTACCGTAGAGGTCCAGGCGTCTGTTGTTGAGGAAGAGACGCCTGCTCCTGTCGCCGGTCCAAGCAAGCGGAAAGGGAAGCGCAAGGCCCAAGACAATGCCGCCGCCGCTGGTCCGAAGCGCGCTCGTCGCAATGCTGCGTCCTCCTCCTCCTCCACTCTCGACTCTACGCCCGCGATCCCTACGCCCGCACTCTTGGACACCGCGACTTTGCCACCGTCGGATGGCTCGTCTACATTGGCGCCGCCCACGGGCCACCCTACGCCGTCGGACTCGTCCAACCTTGCAGGCACCTCGACCAATCCCTTCCTCACCTCGCAACACGGCTTCGAGATCCCCCTCGACCTCTCCACGGACTCAGCCATCCTTGCCACTCAGGAGGACGGCGCTTTCGCGGACCTTGACATCCTTCCCTATATGTCGACCGACGACTTGCTCTACAACCTTGACATGACCAACGACGTGTCGGCAAATGACTTCGCGATGTCCATCGCGGGTCTGTCGGGCGAGCAAGCGTTTGCCGTTGATACTATGCATTACGGTCTGCTTGCCCAGCCCGTGCACGACGAAGCTTTTTTGCTTGCTTCTGACGACCCCTTCTACAACGGTCTTGATGCCGCCGCTCAGGCGCCAATGCCATCACTCGCCCATGGTACTCCGGAGTCGGACTACCTCGACAACTACCTCGACTACTACCTCGACATCCCTGTCGATGAAGAGACCTCGTCGCGCGAACGCTCCGCCTCTGCGTTCTCCCCTCGGAGTGATACATCGACGGTCGTCGACACGAACAATTTCTCGGCGGCGTCTTCGGAGCTCCCGGCCAATGCTCCTGAGAGCGAGGAGATCGACCTGTTTGCGATGTCTCTCCAGAAGGAGGTAGACTCGGAAGATGAAGACGAAGCCGACTTCTGGCGCGACCTCGGTATGTCTCCCTGATACTCTGCGTACTCGTTGAGCGATTGCGCTCTTGCTGTATTACTGTTGTGCGCTTTCAACTCGGACTCCATTGATCATCTAGACTCATAGTATCTCTGTTGTATGCTTCCCATCTCATGACTCTACCTCACGCTCCTCATCATTGTACCGTTACCTATCATCCTTACTCCACACTGTACCTACATTGCTATAAGGTCTGTACCTAGTATAGGCATCGCTCTCGTGTAAGTTCTTTGTTTTCCGCGTATGCTTTCCACCTTGCTTCAATTCATCACTGTCAACCGCTTGTACTTCCTTCTTGTTCATATTTCGATCCGCACCTACCTCCTCCTTTGATTGCCTCCCTGTTGTACCTTACCCTTCCCCTCTGCATGTGCACCCATTGTTTGTATGTAAACTCGTGTTGTGAATCAACACCCTGTATCGCGTGTGCAGCGGTCGTTCACCCCGCGAATCATTTGAGCGATCGATTCTAAGACTACCATTCGATGCTCTTGGCCTGCTTTACATTCAATACCTTTCTTTTCTGTTCAGATGGTGATCCACGATCGCGTCGTAGCTCGAAGAGGAACCTGAGCGCCTTCTGAACAACGGGTCAATACACGTCGGCGTTACTCCCAATGAACCAGATCTGCCGATGGCACCGGATCTGTCGATCCGCCTCTGTACCTCTACGTTTTTCATATTTCGACCGCGCAAAAAGACTGTAGGTGCTTTAATGCATCTGAAGTACACTGGGATCGAAGAAAAGGCGTAACTGGGCGAGCGTGGGAAAGCGTAAATCCCATCAATGTCCGGCAATTTGGCCGTGAACAACGCGCCGACGCCTCCCCTACCCCAACCTCCCGCCAAAAATATTTGATCAAGCGGACATAGGTGCGGAGGACACTAGACTACCATCTAGTGAAAGAAGTAAAGGAGAAGACGGGATAGTGAAGGAGTAGGACAGTAATGCCGATGCGTCGGCAGATCTGGCTCATCGGGGAGTACCGACGAATGTGACGTAGGAAACGGGCCGGGCCTCCCGGGCGCGCGAGTGCGCTTCTGAGCCCTGGCCGCCAACCACCATGGCATGGTTCCCCCCTCACGCCGCTCAGCCAGTTTCGTGAACCTCAAAATGACAGCTCATGTACGGTCGGGCATCAGCTCTTATGCGAGGGACGATGTAGTTCGGGGTTGCGGAGATCGTAGTAGGCGATAGGTATAATATATTTGGCCCGGTCATATGTACATCTCTACTTCCTTTTTCCTCCGGTATGTCGAGTGCTCACAGCCAACACCATAGAATATCGTAGTGACGGCGTACAGCTCTGCAGTAACACTCGTGCTACCCAGTACTCAGTATTTGTAGCCGTATACACTTCGTCTACCTTTAGCACCGTATCTGATTTTTTTGCACACGATCATTTACCGTTAGATGTTGTTGGATGGTACACGTTACACTCTCATCCCTATACGCCTCGGTTGACCTCACCGTGGGCATGTTCAACCTGGTGGTACGAGGATGAGGTCCGAATGAGCACTCGCGCACCATTTGAAATGGCTACCTCTGTATCAGACTCTGATGCACGATGCACGAGATATCGACGATCCTATCGTGCCACACGCAGTGCGCATGTAGAAATCGTGGGTTGGGAGAACAACGGTTTTGAAGACCGCATCTGAGATCTGAGAGCGAAGCGCGAGTTCGCCGCCTCCGCCGAAGGAAGAGATGAGACACACGCTTTGTTCTCGACCACCACCCCGTCCGACTTCTCTCCTCTTGCTATATGCCGGCTGGTCGTACACAGAGAATTATGGAAGCCCGTAAGGGCCGTGAGATATGTCGCCACATACTGTTTAACTGCTTTGCTGTGTCTATGCGTCCCATCGGCTATTCTCGGAGCGCACCGCGTTCGCGCTTTATCTTGGAGACTGCAGGCGCAGACACTTGCCATGGGTGTATGCACCATGGATGTGCACGAAGATGGCGACAAAGGTTGGGAGGAAGTTGGGAGAAAGAGCGTCGATGCTGTGTTGTGGTCGAGGAGACGACGGTAGACAGCGAACGGATGGACGCGCGTTGAAGTTGTGGGCGGTTGTGGGCGCAAATGCCAACAGACGCACAAGGGGCGGAGGGTCTGGCGATTCCACACAGTTCAAGCAAACTGGGACTGCTGAAGAAGTTGGATGACCGTGTTGGATGGAGACTCAGTGTGGTCGGGACGATGGTGCTTGACGCGGTCGTCGCGTTGTCTGCGGCACTTGAGGTTTTGAGGGTGCACGGCACGCGCCTACTGATGGATCAGTGGTGGATGGACAGAAGAATATACTTGGATCCCGTTTACGCCCATCAATACTCCTCAAGATTGAGAGCTACAGCCTTATACGCTCCTGGTGGTCGTGGGCTTCTACGCAACGTGACATAGACGAGAGCTTTCTTCTCCCGGTCTTGCACGACGCCAAGCTCAAATACGGCCGCTAGGAGTGCGGCCAACCATGGACCATACACTGGTGTATGCCAACATGCTTGCGAACTTGACCCTGTTCGGCCGTGGTTCGTCCAGTAACCCTCATCTGGCGGTTGCGCGTGCGACGTTGGAGAGGGCGTACTGTCGCGAAACCCACGGGCCGGCAGTGCCACGTATCTTGCATCTCTGTCCCTTAGGACTGGCATCTTTACTTCTGAATCCGTACCTGACATTTGTGTGGACGTTTGCTGATCTACTGTCATTCAGTGCAAGAACGAAGAGGAAAAGGAAGTGCCAGGCGCCAAGGACGACCTCCGCTATGCATACCTTGATGCGATCTTGCCGCGCTTGAAATATCGCCTGCGCCGCCGCAACCCGTTCCCGTGTATACCTGATAGCGACGACACGCTCGGACAAACGCACAAAGATTTTGCCGTCGTCTTCGCTCGTATCCCCAGATACGATCATGCCTAAGAGGAGAACGAGGGAGCTCGCTCAGCATACTGCTGCCCGCTCATCAGCCCCGCCACCTCTTCCGACCTTTTAGGCGTCGGTGAACGCGAAGTAATTCGTTGGGACCGCTTCCTTAGCCGTCTCCCGGTGTAGTGGAGAGACCTTGGAAACGCTTTCGGCGACTTTCCTGCGGTCTCAACACAATGCGCATCAACAGAGTCTATCGCAAGGGCTAAGCCCTCCCTGTATCGTGACCTTTCACCACGGCGGGATCCACTCTTCCTTGGCGGTGGGATATGCATATGCCCTGCACGACCATTTCGCATGCACACAAAGGTGCCGGGACACAGTCGCACCCTCGTCCTCGACCTCTAGACCGTCGTCGAAGGAGCAGTCAAGTGTCCGACGAATCGCTGTCTCCTTGCTCTTACGAGCCGCACGCCGCGTAGAGCACCCTAGCGCACGATACAGAAGTCAACCTGAACACGTCGCGGTCTCTTCCAGAATACAACTCGATCAATAATTCTTCGACCACAGGGCCGAAGTATCATAGACGGACATGCAATCGCCTTACACCGCGTCGGCACACACGTCATTTCTTGGACCCGTCGATGGTCCTGCCCGGGACGGATGAACGACGGATATTGAAGAGGAAACGTTGCGGGACACTCGTGAGGCAGAGGATGGACCCAGCAGCAGGTAAAAAAGAGGAGGAAACGGGCAGGCAGACAATGGACGACGGCGCGACAGCGCGACAGCGGTGGTGCTCGTCATCAATAACTCCAAACGCATGGATGTCAGCCCGGTGGTGGCATCTCAAGAGAGTAGACGGAGATAGCCCTGCCACCGGAGGAAGATGCTCAGAATTATACTGTGAAAGGAAGAGCGATGATCCGGAGAGCGCCAACCTCGCACGGATGTCGATGTGCAAGACCACCAGATGCGCATCCGTCGGCAAGCCGCAGCGCATCCGCACCGAATGTACTTCTCGCCTGTAGGGTTGTCTCTAATTATCGATGCTGAAGCACGGCACAGAGATCATGGCACGAAGAGCGGAAGAGCGCACCTGGACGCGATTGATGGGTTGCGCCTGCACGTGATTGTTGATTGATAGAGGTGCGTTGATGATGCGCCCAGCAAGTGGCGGCGGTTGATGAACGCCCCAGTCCTACTTTTCGAAGCTCAGAGGAAGAGAACTCATACAATGATGCCATGCGGGGAACAGTATTGCCCGTGCGATTGCGAGCGTGAATGAGATGTATCGTCTCGAAAGATTGGCTGTGGACAAGCAGATGAAGGCTGAGTGCAAGATACGGCGGTACGGTGACGGCCAGGATCCTATTCTACCATCGCGTATGCTCTCTTTGTGGCCTCTACTGCGCTACTGAGCTTCCATTTTCGACAATGGAGCGACGTCCGAGTCCACATTCGAAGTGTTCCTCAGCGACGCTATTGTCCATCTGCCCTGCGGGGCCGTCTACGCTTACTCGTCGTCTCGGCAGCAGCGACAAGGGAAGCTTCTGCGCGCGGCTCCTGCCGAATTTCCAGTTTCTTGCGTTCAACTGGCAGAGCGGTTAATTCAACGAGCCGGTTTGGTTGATCTGGAGACGTTACTTAAGCCGCGTCTTGCGTTCAGCGTTCGGCACTCAACGCTCACTTGCGCATCCCACCACAACCTCTGCTTCCGGTCATCCATGGCCACTACCTCTCATGCCACTATGCCTGCCACGGTGGCGCCGCGTGCTACTGTACAACTCCTTGACTGGTTTGAAGACATCGTTCGCTCCGAAAAGGATCCGCTATTTCCTGCCTATGGATTGCAGGCGTTGGCTATTTTCTGCAAGCATCTGCAAAATGGAAAGGGGCAGGACAACTGTGCTGAGACTCACGTACGTCGCTATCGTTATCATCAACCCGATTCTATATTGACGATTCATACAGCAAGCACTGGACCCGCGCACACGCCTCTTTTATTCATTCGCTGATGACTCGTACAACAAGAAGGCACAGGGAAAAGTCATACAAGTTACCATACCTTGGAATCAAGGCAAATGGATTCCTCACCCTCGCTGCAGCGAATGTGGTAAACCGTACGTCGTTTCTTGCACAACCACGTCGGGTCGTGCTCACAAAGGTACACTATCCTAGGACCGGCCGCCCCTCGCTAACCCTCCGACACCTGATCGACGTGCACCCCGAGTTGATAGATGCAAACGCGACGAAAGTTCAACTGATTCACTTGCATGTTGAGCTCGTCATGCCCTTCCAAGTGGCCGACAGCCGTGAAGGGTGGATGAAGTATCTTTTCCGCAGCAGTGGAACGTGGCGCACCACAGGGATTTTGAGCAAGGCAGATATCTACCCCATCGCGGATGAGCTTCTTGCCAGGATGCAGGCGATCATCAACGAACATACCGAGTCGCCCTCCGCCTCTGCTCTGCCATTGACGCCTGTCGCCTCGACAAGTTCGCTCACCGCTCCCACCGCTCCCGTCGCCAGGAGACGTATAAAGAAGCGCAAGGCCTCGGATGATACTACGTCCGAGGAGCGCAAGCGCACTCGTCGAGGTCGTCCTACTAGGGACACCACGGGTGCTTCCTCATCGTTGACGGTGGACAACGCCCTCACCACGTCCGCCGCTGCAATGCCGCTGCCAGGCGATGTCACGGCTACCACTTGGTGCTCGGCGCTGCCCAACAGCCTCGCTTCGTTCTCGGGCCCATCGAACTTCGCCGGCTCTGCAACTTTTTTCGCCCCCTCCGACGCCTTCGCATCCTCCACAGTGGCTCCGGTAGACCCTTATGCAGATGGCATCGCGGGTATTGAGTCCCACAATGGCGCGGCAACCCTTGACCTCATCGGGCCCTACGCAACGACCTTCGACGGGACGGAGAACGGGATGTGGCCCCTCCTTGGCTCGCTGAACGAGCTTTCGTCTGCCGGTGCAATGCCCTACGATAATCTCTCTACACCCGTGGAAGGTCTAGCACCTCCGGTCACCTACGCCGAGCCCTCCGACACAGCCCATGACGACGCGGCGCAGGCGCCAACGCCATCGACCGCCTATGCCACTCCGGAGTACCACCACTTGGGTCTTCCTGTCAACGAAGAACCCTCGTCGCGCGGCCGCTCCGCTTCTGAATCGTCTGCTGTGAGTGGAGTCTCGACGGTCGTCGACGGCAACGACTCTTTCGATTTGGCGGCGCTTCTCGCGCCACCGGCCAACGCTCTTGAGAGCGAGGCGCTTTACGCGCAGGCCGATGACCCTTTTGCGTCCTCGTTGAAGAAGGAAGACGACTATTCTTGGCTTGATGACCCACAGCAGGCATACTTGGCGTACTAGTCGAGTGTTTTGCTATTGCTGTACTATACTGTTGTTGTGTTTTGACGATGTTGATCATTTGGATTCGGAGTATGTTGTATCCTGTACGCTTCACCACTCATGTCTCTACCCCACACCCCTTCCGGCCGCCCTGCTATTCCACCATTACGCTAGACCTACATTGCTATAACGTCTGTACCTAGTACAGACATCGCTCTCGAGTTTCCCTGTGCCATAGTATGTTTGCTGTTCATCTTGCTTCGACAATTTATCACTATCTATTCCTTGTACCTTCTCGTGTCAGGACGACTTTGTGTTACTATCAATGATATTCATTGCGTACTCTACTTTCCTCGATCAGCTAGTGATCCACTGGAGCGCTATAGCGCGAAGAGAGACCCGCAACGCGCCTCGGCGTTGCCTCGGTGAATGTGCCGTTCGGCATCGGCCCGGAACACCCGGAGCGCGAGCAGCGGGACGGATTCTGGGCGCGGACCTGCAACCACCATCGTGGCATGGCCTTGCCCTCCTCATGCCGTCCAAATAGTTCTGAACGATGGCTTTTTGCTGAAGACTGAGTAGGCCGTCTACGCGCGCAAGGGCTATGTAGTTCTGGGCCTCGCGATGGAGGGTATTGCGGACACAATCTATCTGGCATTGTCATATGTACGTCTTTTTTTCTCTCGTTCTGCTTCGGTACATAAATCGCCCGCTTACATTCATCGTCCCCAGCATATTGTTCCAAAGGCTTGGGATACTTGGTATGTACATGTCAGAGCCCGGAAGCGAAGCCGCACCGCGCAACGTACAGTATCTGTAGCCGTATATTCCTCGTTTACCTTTGTCTCACGATGCTCCATGCTCTTCTCGCGTATGACCATGTATTGTTGGGCGCTGTAGATTCTCTTGTGAGCCGCAATGAAAAGGTGCTTGACTTCACCGTGTACGCGTAAAGCTGGTTTTACGAGTACATGATTCACACGAGGGACTCGTGACTTCTGATGGGTGGTCCTTGATTCAGACTCCGACGTTTGAAATACGAGAGAGCGACGATCCTACTGTGCCACAGGGTGTGGATGTGGATGTGTGATCCCGGGGAAGCGAAGACCGCATACAGGAGCGGGTCAGCCGCAATATTGCAAGACCGCGAGCTCGGTACTCGGTGTGCGCCAGGTGTGCGCGTTGTTCACGCTCCTAAGCGCAGAAGCAATATGTGAGACACACACCTTTCCCCTCCACCACCACCTCACCCAGACTCTCTCCTCTTGCTTTGTATTTGCTTGTCGCACGCAGAGAACTATGAAGGCCTACGAGGCCCGTGAGATACGTCGCCACTCGCCATATGTACGCTGCTCTGCGTTTATGGGTCCATCTTGTGCCTATCGGCCATTTCCGGAGCGCACCGCGTCGACCTGCGTATCCCTGTCTATAGGCTGTCAGCCTCGATCTGGTCTCTCTGGCCCGATTCATGTCGCCTGGAGGGCTTGCGGCGAAGGTTCGAGAACGAGATATGTTGAGGGCGGTCAGGGTCGCGAATGTTGGGTTGCACGACCACGGGATGGACGCGCGTCGTGGGCGCGGCCGCAGATGACACGCACCCTGGTAGCTCTGATACACCAGAGGTGTATCTTGTGCAATACGCGCCGGTGGACGTTCTCCACGGCAGAGGTCCACAATACCACACGCATCTTCCTCGGCACTCGTTAGCTCGCTTCGTGGCGTAGCGGCCAAGAAGTCACTCTTCTGTCGGCTAGTCACGATGCTGAGTTCTACGGCGCTGCGTGAGGAATATGGCAGTCGTGAATGTGTGCGCGTTTGGGCAGTTGTAAGCTGTTTGGGCTTCTTGCATCGCAGACAAGGATGAGGATAGGATGGATGAACGCAAAGAGTTGTTGGTGGATCATCTACCCCTGTGCATGATACGGACATGGGTGGATTTGATTGATGTCGTTGTGCGTGGACTGTGGCGTTGGGCTATGGCCTGCCCGTGAATGCTCAGCGACGTGTTGATGTTGAAGGAATTGGACTCACAAGTGTACCCCCGGGAGACCAACGCCACTTGCGCTGCACACCTATATCCTTGTCTTCCTCTGTGGAATCGGATATCACTGATCCTTTTTTCGTCTCGTAGAATCATCAACGTGCGTAACAAACACGGAGAGGGCCTAGGCGCTCAAGATGATATCTGCAGCGTACGGCATGCTACGCGCGAAGACCATCTCACCACCGCATCCATCGCGCTGACAATGTCCAAGACGATGGGTATGGGCAACCATCACCTCGGCGTCGAGTACCAGAACAACCTCGTCACCTGCCGCCAATGCACACCCCGGGTTCCGGACACCGCAGTCTCGCTCCCGTTCCCAGCTCGGAGGACATCTGACGCCACCGAGAGGCGCGATGGGCAGTCATCGGCACCTACGCCTGTTCATCTTCCACGTCTTTTAGCCGCACGCTACATCGTCATCTCGTAGCTTCAACGCTCAGGAACGAGGATGATCTCACCGAGCTGCCCACAGTGGCGTCTCCGACGCCTTATGGGTTCCCAACCATACTACCCCTACGAATGCCTGCCAGCAGCTGCTGTGAATTGCCCGGGAGAGCTTCTCAAGGTCGGCGCTCAGCGACCTTGACAGCCCTTGGGGTAACTGCCTCGATCAAGATCACGTCCAAGAGGATATCAGTCTCCCTAGCGATCGCATTGCAGCTGCCCTCAGCCTTCACCTCTCATTCAATATCGAGGGACGTCCTTGCGGTCGAAGGTGCACATGTCGGTTGATACACCCTCGACCTACTGCGCGGAACTGTTCGCCGAGTCTTGAAGCCGCCGCGCTTCGATGCTGTCTAGATACAACGCTTCGCATTCAGCAATCTCCCCACAGATGGGAACCGGGTCGATGCAGCTAGACGCCGAAAAACGAGGCATGGCGACGCATGGTCACCGTGACGCCGATCCGAGGAACGGGATGCCGGATTCCGTGCTGGATGCTAGCCTATCCCGTATCTGTGTGTGGGACCATGCCCACACCTGCATCGTACACGGCGGTGGCATATGCCGCGTACGCTCGACGCCCGACCCTCTAGTGCACAATCGGCGAACGATGAACGTTATGATCCTGCGTCGCGTCCTGTGCGCGACTATCAACAGAGTGCTATCATGAGCAGACGCCACGGACATTCATGCTCGACGTACGCCGCGCGGCATAATGGCAGTTCATAAGAGATCCAAGAGACTCTGCGCGTAAGGCGCGACAAGAGCGGCAAGGGACTCCTGCCGACACTGGAGACAGCATTGCGAACTGGCGTTCCACGTGGAAACGGTTCAGGCAGGCTTGCAACCAGACGTATAGGACGAGGGTGGCATGGCTGAGGCAATATGATAAAGAGCGGTACATCCTCGCAGAGGCGCGGTCGACCCTCCAGAACGCTGAATACGCTGGCTCGGACTTTATCCTCGGACTACGGTGCTCTCTCGAGAGGTACGTCTTCAGAATAAGCGTGGCGGGAGTGATGTAAATGATTATCCTCGCAGATGGCGGTGGCATGAAGAGCAGAAGAGCGTATCGAGACGCGATTGATGGGTCGGCGTTAGCATGCGAATCTCGTTTGCGCGAGTTGACTGGTGTTGACTGATGGATGTCCCGACTTCCCGAAGTTTCCGCCGAACGGTGCAGACGGCGGTACTGGTGCAGCCTATGGATACTGTCGAGCGGACAGTGATGTTAGCGGTAGTGCGTCGTCTTGCGGTGGATTGGAGCGCTGGCTGCTACCGACGGAAAGTAAACGCGATGTGGAGGTCGAGTGCAAGATAGGGCGGTGCAGCGGCAGCGACTGTCCTGCACTGCGCTCGAGGACACGTCCTTTGTGGGCTCTACAATCCTATTCAGCTGTGCAATCTGACAATGGAGCTACGTCCGGAGTCACACTCAGGACCCTTCGCCGGCACAATTGTTCGACTTCTCGGCGCTCAGCCTGGCGATTACTCGTCTCGTCGGCAGCAGCGACAAAGCAAGCTCATATTAGTGACCGTTACAAGTCGGTCACTATCTGTCGACGCATTACAACGTGTGACGGGCAAGTTCGTCGATCCGAGGGTGGGAAAATGGTTGTGTCCGCGGCAAGACTCGAGTCGCGTCCCGCGTCTCTTCTCCCTCCACAACCCGCCCACACCACCTCCATTCTGGAGAGCGATACTTCCGCCATGGCGCCTGTATTCTCTACGCTACGCGACCACGAGAACTATCACAAAGTTGTTGTCTTTGTCCTTAATTCGGAACGACCGGAGTCCACCGCACGGTGTGTCAAAGTCTTCATCGTCGCCACTCGTCTCCTGTACGCGAACGGCAAGACGGACCCCAAGAAGGATATCTTTGTATGTGGTTCTCTCGTCCCGTCGTATTTCGTATACTAATGTTGCACGGTAGTCGGGCCTACCCGAGGAGTTATTGGACCATTACTTCCCTCGTCGGACTGACGGCGACTTGGGGCCCTTTAATCATAATGCTCAGACAATCGGCTTTCAAGCAAGCCTTCCATACGAGCTGGTAAAGGCCATCGTGCACTACAAGTGCACTTATACGGACATATGTCTTTTCGCGTACGTCGAGTTTTCATGTGCCGTCGTCCCCCATTGATGTATTCTCCATACAGGGGGGCTCGCTGCGCGCAGGTCGGGAGCCATATTGTCAACGTCCATCTCGCCAAACAGAAGACGGGAATGGACTCACTGCGTCAGCACATAGAGACTATCCTTCCGTGGTTCGTTTGTGAAGACGGAAGTGATTGGATTGAACACCTGACGACCCACGGCCGTTACGTGGCTTCGCTGCTGGGGAAGCGTGACAT